GTAAAAATGAGAAATAAAAAAAAAATTGAGAGTCGTTATTTTGATTTTTTTCAGTAAAATAACATTTTTTTAAATGGAAACCCCTGTATATTATATTTTTTTCTGTTAAAGCATCAAATTTTAAACAAAAAAGTTCATAATGACTTTTCCGCTAAAGTCAAAAATAAAGTCAAAATAACGATAAATATTTTTAATTATTTGCAGTATTATAATATTAAGACGGCTATGAAAACAACATGGCTGGTGAAAGATATGTGGAATTTATGTCAGAAATTCTGACTAATTTCTTAGACGAATTGAATCTTATAAGTAGCCATCATCTGCATTTTCAGCAAGATGGCGCACCTGCCCACAACTCCAGAGGTACTTATCATTTTCTAAGTACTACTTTTAATGATCAGTGGATAGGAACAAATGGCCCAATACAGTGGCCTCCCAGATCACCAGATCTAAACCCACTTGATTACTTCTTGTGGGGTTACTTAAAGAACCAAATTTACAAGCGAAGGTACGATAACCTTGACGCGTTAAAGACTGCAGTTAGGGAAAAGATGACCCAGATAGATGGTAGGACCATACTTAAGACAGTTCGAGCAGTTGAAAAACGTGCCCAAAAATGTATTGAAGAACAAGGTGGTGTTTTCGAGCATCTTCTTTAAAAAAAATTGTTATTGTATTTTGTAAGATTATAAGTTGATGTTGAAAATAAAGTTTGTCGATACAATTTAATTGTTTCAGATTGGAGGCCATAACTTAAACAATTTGTAACCTAGGAGAAAAGTTATTGTAAGCTTTTTTGTTTAAAATTTGATGCTTTAACAGAAAAAAATATAATATACAGGGGTTTCCATTTAAAAAAATGTTATTTTACTGAAAAAAATCAAAATAACGACTCTCAATTGTTTTTTTTTATTTCTCATTTTTACCAGCGTTAAAAATGCTACTAGTTTGCTAATTCAAACAACTTTGTATTTTCACTAATAACAAAGTTACTAATGGTGGACACTTAATTTGGATAACCCTGTATAAGCGAAAGTTACTTTGAAGCACCTGCCGAAGCATCTGCTGTTAATGTCAATGCAGGTAGTTCATCATAGAACCAATATTAAGCTATCTCAGATTAGGGTATCATCCGTGGATTGCTTTTATGATACATTAGAGGCTCTCATTAACAATACTGGTTTACCGCAAACTCAGAAATTTTATTCTCTTTCGATTTTAAACCCTTTGACCCTAGTGACTTTCTAATTGTCCAAACACTACATTCGCTTCCCTAAACAAACAGAATTGTTCAATACTCGATGAATCGAATAATATCTCGTTCAACAAGTTCGAGGTAAGTGGCGGAAGGGTGACGATAAATTACTCAAGGTTAATGCTTGGGTACTCCTGAAGGAAGACAGCTATCCTCCTGTTCAGTGATAACTTGGGCGGGTAATAAAGGTCCATAGTTCATACAGGTTGTGATGGTGAAGTTCGCGGCACGGATACTCTGTATGTTGAAAACTGACGTTATATCGATCTTTTTTGACATTATACTGGTTTTTTGACATTATGTAGGTTTTTCTACAAGATGTTAACGTGTTGCCCAAACGTCATGAGGCTTCAGTTATCAATATTTGGCTCTGATGTGATGTAAAATCTATTTCAGAGATGGCATTACTGAAGATCTAAGCTGTAAGTTGTATGTGTTGGTGATAATTCCATTTAATTCTTGTCTCAAATTAATTGATATTCAAAGCTAGAAATTAGTTGCGCATCCACTTTTCGAATGGGTACTACATCGAGTGGGCTGGTCCCGTCTTGGTGGGGAAGGGCGTGCTCGATAGTGGGAGAAGTGCCGTTTCAGTTGGCAAGATGTTTTGGAACGTTGAGCATCGTGTGTTCACTGTACGTCGGTACTTTCAAAGTGGCGAGTCTGTCGTTCGAACGCAACGTGAGTTTCGCGTTCACTTTCGTGTCACGTCGTGGGACAGTACCTGACCGTAATACCATGTTGAGATGGGTGGAAGCATTCATCACAACAGGTAATGTGATGAAGAACAAACCGCCAGGGCGAAACCGTACTGTTAGAACCCCCGAAAACGTAGACAGAGTGAGAGTTGACACGCTGCAAAGCCCGAATCGTTCCGTCCGTTTGCGTGCCAGTTCCCTAGTGATCCACGCGTCATCTGTACGTCACATCTTGAAGAAGGATTTAGTGTTCCATCCTTACAAAATCCAAGTTTGTCAACAACTGTTGCCAGGGGATTATGCACAACGTGTTAATTTTGCACAGCTCGACGACGACATGTCCGTCTCAGAACAGTGTGGTTCCAACAAGACGGGGCGACATCTCACACAGCTCGCACTTCGATGTAACTTCTTTGGCAAAAATTCCCAGTACGTCTCATTTCACGTCATGGCGATATTCCATGGCCCCCTCGCTCCCCGGACCTGTCAACTTGCGTTTTTTTATGGCGCTACCTGAAATCAAAAGTTTACCAAAGCAAGCCTCGGATCCTCGTCGATTTGAAGGAGGAAATAAGAAGAGAAGTGACCCAAATTTCTGCACGGATGCTGACCGACGCAATGGACTCATTTCGGGAGAGGCTTGATTCCTGCATTTCGACTCAAGGGAGCCATATGACCGACATAGTTTTTAGAACGTAAATTTTGTTCTACTCAAAAAAATGGCATGTATTTCTGAGCATTTTGGTATCATAAAATATTTTTTCCATCCTGTTTCGACAGTACAACCTATTTAAAGAACATGCGTTTTTTCTGACGGACCCTGTACATGCTAACAGTAATTACACACAACGCGGGCGCGGTGATGATTTCCCGTAATTCTCGTCAAAGATTTTCGTAATTTATAACTTTGAACATAACCTGTCTTCAGAAAGGACAACATATAAATAACCCATCGGGCACAGCTAATAGATATACTTCATTGGCAGCATATTCAGTAATGATTTTCTCACACAGCAAATATCACTGATGTTATACACATGCAGACCGATACACATAATCATCCAGATGCTATCTTGCTATACAACCAACTTTCTTCTCGGAGATAAAAACTACAGACACAGACCACTCTGCCTCACACAACATATATGCAACCAACAATGCGCATAGTTTAGTAGAGTGATTCCTCCATAGATGGAAGATCACAACGATCCTAGTGAGCAAACGTGGAATGACAGATTGCGCCCTAAAAACTACCTGGTCTGCAAGGTGACATCTTATAAGTTTTTTTGACGTTTCATAGGTTTTTTACATAATACCTGTGCGGATAGCGACGGTGAAGTCGAATAAAGGATATTTTAAACGTGCGGTGAACATGCTATGTCCGCTACTTATCTACGTATTACGTATATTGAAAAGTGACATTTTGTCGTTTTTTTGAGACATAACGTAGTTTTTTCTACAAGATGTTAACTTGGCACAAGCTGTAGTACACTTGTATACTCGTTTTGTAGCTGTAAGTGTTGCTTAAACGTCAGCGAACACCAATCATAGCGAGCAAACGTGGAATGAACTATTTGCACACAAAACTAAATAGTCTGCAAGATGAAATTTCGTCGGTGTTTTTTGACATTTTTGAGATAATACCCGTGCCGTGAACAAGTTTGCATGTGCAACTGTGTTGAAACTGATAGCTTCGAGGTGGGCGGTTTTATGTATAATCTTAGAGCCGTGCACTAATCTTAGAGGGCCCTGTGTGCACAATTACTTGTGAGTTTTCAAATAAATTTTTAATTTTGTGTCATATAGCAAAATAGCATTTATTTCAAAAAATAGCATCACTGTGTATTTTAATATTTACCTGGGATTAGATGCAATACATCGCTGCACTTAATATACAATCACTTTGAGAGCTTTTTAGAAGCGATGTTTTGAATCCTCGCAATTTACACTTTACTATCTATTAAATTACCATTGGCAACACTGACAAATTTGTAGTTCTCACCCAATGGTAACAATACTGGGCCACAATTTTAATCAATTAATGGTTGATAATACTGACTTGTCAATTATTTATCTATCGTTGGCAACTTTGACATAGACTTTATTATTAATTAGACTAAGTGTTTTGTGAGTCAGGGGGGTGAAACTTCTTAAGGGCGAAGTGGCACTATCTTTATCTAAATGTAAAAATATCAAATATGGCGTTTGTTTTGGTTAATATCCAGGTTATCAACCTTGATGCTGTCGGAGATATTTCGTTAAAAATGAGTATAAAATATAAAACAACACTATCAGTAACTGTGATGGTATACGAGATGTATTGTGACTATTGTGGTAGATGCTGAAGTTCAGGAAATTAAGTCATAGAGTGCTACAGGTAGGCCGTACTTAACATATGTGCGTGATGTAGTTGGTAGATTATTTAATCTTGCATGTCTGGATTCAGCCTCTTTATATAAAGTATGAAAGTTTTTTTGTATTGAATAAGAAATGGTAATATCGGTAGAGTACAGTCATAAAAGCCTGAAGCTTTATAAATAAAAAAAACTGTTCATCTAGGCTAAGAAAGGCAAATAACTGAGCAAACTGATTAAAAATGACAAGTTTATTTACAAAGAATTATGAATTACATTAGTGTTTTCTGTATTGTTTCAGAATTCATCAAGAAGCAATTCAATGAAGTGAACCTCCTGTGTTTTACAACACAACATAAATTTTTGGATTTCATTTCTCTGAGCCTTGTTCTCAGCAAAACTGCTGAAACATATATTAACCTTATTGGGGATATTTTATGCATATACGTTCTTGAAATAATAATCCTTCAATATCGGAAATATAATTTTCAGCAGATTTCAAATTATGAACAAACGAAATATCCGGCACATTCGACGTTCTTTCGATAGTTCATCCATGTATCTCCAGGCAAGTAGACGGCGCAACCATCTGACAAACGTCAACGATGTTGCCATCGTTTAACGTTCAGCTTTCACTTCTTTAGTCCTATGTGTTTTGTGATGAGTACTTTTCAGTGAAATACCACCTGTCATGGTTCTGTCTTATTTCGTATCTTTTTTAGGTTATATTTACATTTAAGACCACTCCATGTAAAAGTTGCTGCTTGTCATTTTATAATTTCCTTCTTTCTAAACTTTTATAATAAAATGGATGCACCACTTTTATCAGCGTTCAAGACAATTTTGGTCTACAGTATATTTATACTGGCGTCTCCCATCACTACATTTTTTGTGTCTAAGATTTTCATCTTTGAAGGTAAATGCAGAGAGTCCATCAAAATTACTTAAATATTCACTCACACAACACTTTCAGGTATTCTTGGAGCCTCCCCATTAACAAGCAATGTTTGGTCTGCTGTTTTTGCAGTAGTAGTGTTACATATAGCTGTAGGAATGTACATTTATAGGGCGTACTTTGAAGCAGACAGATCCAAACCTCTAGTGAAGACAGATTAATCCAAAGAATGACCAATCAGTGGAACTGTGATAATTTTTACTAGACGTATTCCACATAGGTCATTAGATATCTTTTAAATATTTACTTTTTCATTTTAGAATTGTTCTTTAACTGCATAAATAACCTATATGGAAAATACTAGTAATAACCTAGCCTGTTTGTATACTATTTTACATGAAAGTTTGTAATCTAGAGTTCATTAAAAAAAAAATGTAGGGCTTATAAAGTTTCAGTTAATCTTTCAAAACGTTTATTTCAGACAAAACTAGTATATTTTATCAGGTAATCTAGATTTTTGATATAGGACAAACTTTTCTTTATATGTATAAGCCATTATGTTAGTGATGTTTTTATGATTCTTCTTAATGGCAACTTTAAAGATAAGTGTACCTTACATGAGTATTTTAGGAACATGTAGTTTATAAAGTAATATAATATGTAATAATTATTTTTACAGTATTATGTTCCATTTATTCATTCCATAACTTATGGATATGGAAAATTCAGGAATGCAAAAAATTTTAAGACTTGAAATGTTCTACAAAATAAAATTTGTGTTAATATAAATAAAAATGATTAAGTCATAACAACCGGCAAGGTAAAATAATATTTTATAGAAAGCATGTACCTATCCCATACCCTAATAAAGTTTTTAAGTATATACCTTTAAAAATTACTGTCTTCATAAGGACATGAGGGAATACAGAAACTAATCTAAGTAGAAAATGTTTAATTATGCAATACAATTCAGAGTGTGACCTAAAACAATAAACCTTACATATCTTCAGTGTCTGATTCAGAATCAGCTTCCATGGCTTGTTTTGCAGCTTTTTCTGCATCAGCATACACTGAATCTGGTACTCTGACATGATATCCATCACTCTCCTGACATACCCAAGATAGCTCCAATTCAAAGTTCTTATCTTTTAGCTCATCATGTACTGTATAGATGCTGCAAATAAGAATTGATCATTATCAGTAACTTATTTGAGCTATATATCATTATGTAATGGGACATTATCCATCTAGACCATTATCTTTTCAGTATCTGAAATAGTTGCTTAAATTCCTGTTTAAAAAATGATGTAGCTTATCATTGTGCCACTACTTGTGTTAGAAAAATTTGATTTTTGGAGGCAAAATATTCCATCAGATATACCTACATTTTTGCAGCTTCTTTTGCAAGTTCTCTGCAAGTCATCTGGCCAAGCTTAAGTTTCTCAATTTCAGTCTTAGCAGACTGCTTAGCTTTTCCAGTAGCACATCCATAATAGCCCTGAAAGTTGAAGTAAATATTCAGTTACAGATGTCATCATTAATTTCTTTTCTTTTGACATCTCTATTTCTGTAAATGCTCTTATTTATTATTTTGAATTATAATTATGTATAATTATAAACACACAACTTACATAGCTGACTCCAGATGGATCAATCAGATACATGTTAGGTTCTTTGTCTTCATAGCTAGCTAAGATAACACTGCATCCATAAGGCCTGACTGCACTATATAAGGTGTAAGCATGCATATACATACTTACACGGTCATTTAAGTACTTCAAGGGTATGCTAACGCCATACTGTGCTCTGTAGTTTGCTGCTTCCTTTCTAGCTATTTCCACAATCTGACGAGCATCTGCTATCAGACCAGAAAATGCCTGTAAAAAAATCTCCATTTAAGAGGAATAGGAAATGTAACATAATAATGAACAATGAAAAAAGTTATTAATTAATAATTGATCAAGCAAAAATCAGTATTAAATATATTTGAGACTTTTTATTGGAAACCCACTGCTTTTTGATGTCAATTAGAAAAAATGGTATCAAGTAGGGTGGCACTCCATTTCTTACATAACACCATCATCAGTTCATAAGGGATCAAGATCAGGAGCAAATTCCTTGCCCCATGGCATTAGAAGTAATAACAGTGTTAATAAACCCTAAACAATACTATTCTCAACTGACAGTTTATGCTAAATTCATACAAACTTTGAATTAAATCCATGACACAACTGGTGCCAATGGGATGGCAAAAAGGGTCAAAAGTAGCCTAGTCGCCTTCACAACTTCACCAGTACTATTGTTATGGGACAGGATCAATAAGGTCTATGTTTGTCATACATTGGTTGATTCTGCCTTATATTTCAACTTTTGGCTTGTATGAATCAAGCATTTAATCCACTATTACTGAATCTTGGGAAGTATATTCATTTTGAATTGAACCTTTTCAAGGATTTTTTGGGTATTTCCGAATAATATATCTCCTATTCTCTGGCAACTTACCATGCCAATGTTTCTATCGACATTGTAAATTCTTCTGTTGGTATTAGGTTCATGCAATTTGGAAAGGATGAGTTTTTCTGCGGCAAGTACAATTCCATCAGTGCCCTTGAGACCTATAACTGTTCCACTATTCTCTACGGCTTTCATAGCATATTCCACTTGGAATACTCTTCCATCGGGGGAGAATTGTGATGCGGATAAATCATACTACAATATCAAAGAACACAATAAATAAAGTGCTGGATATTTCTAAGCATTTAACTTACTCCTGTGCCAATAGAACTCATTTTTTAATCTCGTATTTTCAGCTTAATATTAGAAACCCAAGATGATTTGCTGTTTTGAATTTTTAGGTTGATTTGTTTGACAAAATATGTTTTGTCAAAATGCTGTGAGAAAAGGGATGTTTGGGTGGTATTACCAAGATTGGTCGACGAAGCTCTTTTTGACAAATGCTTGCCAAAAGACGAATGAACAACTAAATAGCTAGTCACGTGCCGCGTTTACCACGCCTCTACATTTTCTAATCTAACTCGCATGAAGTTTCAAATTATCTCTAATGCGGGTCCCACACGATGCATCCAATGTTGTATATAACGCTGCTTACAACGTTCAACACCCCACAATTGGCAAGTGTTTCTCCTACAACCTACACGATGGGATGAACTTTTTAGTCTCGGACGTTAGACGCATGGTGATGCCAACGTCTATTATCGTGCTTGAACCTTTATAACTGAAGGAAAAATTATACAAAATGAACGATACAACAATTTTTTCGAGCGCTGAAAAATAATTTCAGATCTGTCTTCAGCGACCAAAACTCAAGTCTGTCAGAAGACTCTGAAATGTCTAAAAATGAAGTTTGACCGTTTTTTGACGATAGGTCCGCCGCCACTGTACCGTTTTCCAAAAACTGCAGAGCTTTTTCGTCATTTTCACAGTAGTAACCTAGAGTCAAAATTTCATCCAAATCCTGATAGTGCTATCAGAGTTATCATTTATATTATTCATTTTCGTTAGTTATGAAATGCAAGTCAATATATTTCTCAACTAGTCTTGCATTGCAACAGGACATTATAATGAAACAACTGTAAGCAGTTGATAATTTATAATTGACTAAAATTCACATCCTTAGGCCAGCCATAACTCACCTGCGAAACGTACAAAATATTAACAATATAAAAAAAGTGTTGTTATGGCAGCCTATGCTTTGTATGTATACTAATTTAATTCATTATCCTCAAAAGTTAGTTCGGGAACATACATTATTATGAATAGATAGGTATTCAAATCAAAATACTTCCCCCATACCACTACTCACCACAATCAAGGCAAACAGGTAAACAATGTTTTTCGCCGCTACTGGTTCTAGCCTAAGCCATCAAAAACCCGACCTCTTGTGTAGGAGCGTAACGAACCATGCTTCCAACGTTGAACATATGTAATCCGTCAGCGCTCTCCCACACGATGTGGCGAATGGTCATGTGTCCAGCGCTGTAAGGCATTCGCCACATCGTGTGGAACCGGTTTAATTAGAAGGTTGTCGTCAGCTGTGTTCTGTCAGCTGCAGTGTCACTGTCACACTCGTGGACAAATGTTTACTTTTACTTTGGTTTACTGTTTACTTACATCTGCGTATCTTTCAAACAAGTCTTCAAATACAGTGTGCATTTAACTTTTGTATATAAATGACCGTGTCCAAATTATGGTTGTTGCTCATAAAGCAACGTCAATGAGCAGTATTAATAGTTTAGATATATATTTACATGATGCCGACAAGCAGTCGACTGAAATATACTCCGGTAAATAATCCAGATGGCAACGAAAATGTAGATTTTCAACCAGTGAAACGAGAGTTTTTCTCATCGTCATGCCTCTGGTCATCTCTGTTTACAGGGATCCTGATAGGCATTTATTACATCCCTTCCATAGGACTAACATTTTATCAAAGATGGTTGTTCCAGGTATATTTATATTTTATGAATAGATTCGCCGCTTTGCTTATCTCTTTGTTGTTTTTAGTCCTTCAGGTTTCCATTAATAACAGTTCTAATACATATGATTGTGAAATATGTGTTAGCAATGATACTTCGCAAAATAATATCAAAGAAACAAGGCAAACCAAGAATTCAACTGAGCTGGAAAGAATATGTTTTATCTGTATCCCCCACTGGAATATTCAGTGGTATTGATATTGGGTTTTCAAACTGGGGGTTGGAGCTGATCTCTGTTTCTTTGTGAGTTATTTTTCTTTTTCCTTAAGTACAAATGGAATAATAATTTTATATCTTGATTGAGATATTTAAATGTATTAGCTGATATAATCAATACTATGTAATTTATATTCATAATAACATTGAAAATAAGAGAGTAGATAATTATTTTTCATTACCCAGTTTATTTTAGCACACAACTTGTATTTCAAATATTATTCATATTTATATTAGATCTTATCAAGGTTAACAACATAAAGAGAAGTGTTTCATTTTTAAAGGAGTACTTTACTAAAGTATCCAACTGGAGATGTATATTTTCGATATGGTATTATTTACAAGAGAACTGAAATATGAGTTGTTAATGAAGCTCAGCATTAGCATGGGCAGGGATGTTTCTCAGGGGAAACTAATCATCAGTCTAAGATAACTTTTTGTGAAAGTATACATGCCCCAAAAATGTTTTAAATAGCAGGGCTAGCAGATTTTCTCAGGGATGCAAATCTTAAAGATTCCAAAAATTGTTCACAAAATCTTGCTTAATATGAGATTTAGCAAAATCAGTATATAGTAAATAGAGAATGAATGAATTTTCAAACTAAATAGAGGCATACTGGCTACCATAGGCATAGGCCACCTCCATCTCGTGCAGGTGGCGCCTTGTTATGTTATGGCCAGACAACAGTCCCACCAGCAACCATAGGTTGACTCTATCCAAAGATAAGCAAAAACGACCATCCTTAGCGCTAGACCCTACAATGAGTTCCTGTGCCTGACAGAGATGTCTGGAAATGCTTCTCCATTACTGAAAGTGTTGTCTTGTAATCCATTTCTCCATTTTCCTCTTAACTCTGTACGGGCACTCCTTGCTGGCTGATCATGTCATGTGAGAGTGTCCGTCGTATCATTGCCCTTTATCCCAGCGAGCCCCGGTACCCACACTAACGATACCGGATGCTCGCTATTAGACAATCCAGAGCCTTCCTGTATTGCAATACAAGGTTCGAAGTAATCTTACATTCACTTAGTGCCCTCATTGCAGCCTAGCTGTCTAAGAAGATTGTTATTGTTCTCCTAGGCCCTCCCCCCCTCCAAAATGAGGGACACACAAGCCAGATTTCCGCCTGGAAAATAGTGGGGCAGAGATAGCCTAGTTCTAGGCCCAGAGACCCCAGCGCCAGAGCCCTTTTCGGTAACCGAGCTGTCCGTGTACCAGACCTGCCCACTCTCTCTGGAGAGCCTCCGGCTACCGGCGACCCACTCCTCCCTCATTGGATACTCCACATTAAACTTTCGGTTGAAGCGATATTTAGGGTTAATTAGATGCAGTTCGACTAAGATGGTAGTATGACCCTTGACAGGATTCAAGAAGGCCCAGCTGCACTGACTCCACAGTCGATGTGCGACTACTCTCGCTTCAGCGCGGATCACTACATCCGACGGTGGGAGATTCCATTGCACTCAATAGCGTTGTTCGTATTGCGCTTGCAATGCTAATACAGGCCAAACGCTGAATTTTATTGAGTTTGGCCTTAGTTGTCTCAGTTCCAATGCAAGGCCACCAATCCAGGAAGCCGTACAAGAGAGATGGACGTACTATCGTCGTGTAGAGCCACCCTGAGACCTGCTTGGCACGCACGAGTCACAGAACGGAACCTCGTCCGCGAAGTTGCGTCGTCCTGTCCCACAGGCAGAGCTCTGCCACTTCTCGTCGTCAGGCCGCGATGAAGCCTCCACTGATACACCGGATTGCGCACCGTCCTGCCCAGAAGGCGGTTAGACCCGAACAGCTGGAGCCCCAAAAGTGTTGCCTCGACCTTCCGTGCCCCCCGCAACCCGCGCTTCCTGGAGCTTTTTTTGTTCGGAACTTGATTTTTAGAGAGCCCACCCTTCCAGCGAGGTCTCCAACTAAGTTTCTGACAGATTCTTCTTTCAGAGTACGATCGGGGTTCCCTGGTGAGGGGCCGCCCGGATGTTTGTGGTACCCTGGTGAGGGGCCACCTGGATGTTCGGGGTCTCGTGGTGAGGGACCACCCGGCTGTTCGGGGTCCCCCGTCGGGAGGAACTCGGGATTTTTATTGTTTTCGTTAGGCTTCATAATTGTTCCCGTGAGTAATGGGGAAATGGTGGCCGACGTCCGCGGTGTCCCTGCACGGACGCAAGGCTGGATACTCGCTTCACACTTCACAAAGAATCATCTAATCAGCCGGGTTACCAGCTTTACGGCGGGTCTCCTCAAAACTGGTCGAGGAGACTCACCGAAAAGCCGGCACGGTTCAGCGCCCACGGCCGGCCCGCAGAACGAACTCGAGGACGTACGGGTTGGATTTTGTAAAGGTGAATAGAGAAACAGCTGTGAAAAATTTTCATACTACAGCAACTCATTTTATCTCAGATACACTACTCAAAAAAATTAAGGGAGCAAAAAAAACAAATTTTTTTCATTGATTTTGTACAGGTTGTATTCCATTCGTATCTAGACTTTAAAACAAGCATTTTGAAGCTTTAAGAACCCAGTTTTTAGGTTCTCCAGCAAAAAAAAATAGGAGCAAAGGTTCTTATGCAATTTTAACAGATAGTGCAAGGAAATTTTTTTGCATAATTTTAGCCTTCTTTTTAGTTCACAGCCTCGAAAAATGTTGTTCCTGTTAGGTAATCAGATGTAGAAACCCAGCCCTATAGAATCACATCTATACTCAGAATCACAATGCAGTAGCTGTTACCAATACTAATCTTCTACAAACAGGGATTAAATTTGAACTTTTATCAATTGAAGCTTGTATCAATTTAATTTTTTTGTTTGCAGATACACAATGACTAAGTCAACAACCATCGTATTCATACTATTGTTTTCTTTGTTATTCAAGTTAGAAAAAAAGGTAAGCTGTTATATTTTGTGCTTATAATTAAGAGCAAGAGAAAATTTTATCAGATTTTAATCACCTTGCTACAGTAAACTATAAAGTTTGGGAGGAGGAAGTACAATAATTTTTCTACAATGCCACAACCACTGGTATTCAGATTTTTGTACAGCCGTTAAGTGGGTAAAACTAAATACGACATTTTTAATCCAACAGAATAACATTATAAACGATTGCATCCAACCAGAGCATCATGGTTAGAAACATTTCCTCCAAACATAATTCTTCTTTTTTAGTATATTCGAAATTAAATTCTTATTTTTTTTTTCAGTCATGGAACTTAATTGTGATTGTTGTGATGATAACCATAGGACTAATTTTATTTACGTATAAATCGACGCAATTCAATTTTCTTGGATTCGTTTTATTACTGTTAGCATCAATATCAAGTGGTATCAGATGGACATGTATCCAGCTATTGCTGCAGAAGTCCAAAATAGGGATGAAGAATCCGCTAGATATGATGTATTACATGCAACCATGGATGATTATATCTGTTTTACCTTTCGCGATGTGGATAGAAGGTGAATATTTTTTATTTTCTCCGACTGCAAATCTACACGATGGTGATCTTGACTATGGCCTTAAAGGTCTTTTCAAGGTCAAGTGAGCTATTTCAAATAGCATCCCTTCTTTTTCATATTGGAATTGAAAATAAGTATTTTTTACGTCCGAACATCACCTTAGTCATGACCTTGACCATTGCTTCCATGCCAAATCAAGACACTAAAAAAATTTGCTCTAGCAAAAATGTTCCACTGCATTGTTGTGAGGTTTCAAAGGTGACCTTGACCATGACCTTCAAGGTCAAGCAAAAAGAAAACCTATCATTCTTTGCTGGAAATGGAAGAAGCACACGACTGAATCTGACCTTGACCTCAAAACATTTAAGCTCGATACGACATTTCCTGCTTTTCCAATTCCAGGATAAAAATGAGGGTTTTTTTTTGAGAATTTTGGACATGAACTTGAAGGTCATGTTCAAAGTCACCTTTGAGTAATCCTCACAACTGTGCTGCCAAAAATTTTTGCTAGAGCAATTTGTTTTCGATGCCTTCAAACCTGAACATGGCCGCCATCATTTTGCCCCTTTGAAACCGCCCGACTTCCGTTTGAAACTTGTTTCTAGAATTTCGAAATATTTATAAGGGGAGACTAAAATGGGACACAGTGTATATTGAACATTGGATGAAAAAGAAAAGCGCAAACCGAATATAACACTATTAATTAAATACGCTCTGCTTCTTTTACATTTCTATATCTACCATATACAGGTATGCTATACAACCGGTTGGGTTGGCTGCAATTCACTGTTTCGCAGTGGTCGAATTTAGAGATAGATGGCGCTTCGCGCTGTCTTATTTCAGATTTTCAAATTGTTTGCTGTTTCATCACGTCTTTTTTTTCTGCAAAACGTAACTTGGTTACCATTATGACCAAGTCAATCCATGTCTTCATTTGTGTGGCATGTACCTTAATAAAGAAAAAAACTTCAGTTGTTAGAGAGTTCCTTCCTACAAATGTCCAGTATTGGTATTCAGGGTCAAAGATCTAAAAATATCCTCTCAAAATTGGCAAACTGTAATATGTTTTATGTCTTTGATAAAATTGTCTTGATTGGTTTTAGGTGGAGATGCTATCAGAAATTGCCAATTGATGGGGTTTTCACATGCCTCAACATTTTTAAGACTGAGTTTAAAAGTTTTACTAGGTGCATTTATCGCATTTTTTATGGAGTTTAGTGAGGTTACTGTGGTAACTTACACTTCTAGCTTAACGTTAGGCATTGCCGGTATATTTAAGGTAAGTGGGAACACTGTCACTCTAAATATCTTTATTTTGCCTCTAAAAAGTAAATTCTGGACGTTTTACTTTTTCTATAAACGAGAAATGACAAAATACCCCTCCAAATTTCAAACGTAAAATGTTGTATCAAAGCTGTAATAAGGTTTGCAATGCCCTAAGATTGTGTTTTCGTAAGGTGTGAAGAAAATAAAATTTATCTGACATTGGTATCAGGTTGTTCGGAAAGTTCTTGCGATTTTTAACCAAATTCAAAGCTTTAACAAAACTTTATTAATAAAAAAAATTACCATCAAATAAAACCATGATTTGGACATAGAGAATAAGCTAATGCATATTTTCAATATGCATCTTAATTCAAGGAATTGGTGTAACATACTGGCAACGCGGCAGATTGCCGTGTCAGCGTTGCTAGGCAACACGGTGAGAAGCGTCGCTATCTAGCCGGCTTCTATCTCTTTCTAACATATGTATCTATACATACTTCTATCTCGTACACATTGGACACAAGCCGTCAGACAAATTTGATTCTCAGTATACAGGGTGGCGCATCGAAAACGAAACAGACGCATTTACTGGCAGCTCAGTTTTTTTTTTGAAAAACGCTCAGACCCGTCGATTTTGTTTTCGAGGGGGACACAAGTTTGGCAAAAAATCACGTGCAGCCCCCTAAGCGGGGGTGACACCACCCCCAAAATCTTAAATGGAAAGGGGGTCGAGTGATACCTTATTTTAAAGGCCTTTCATTTCCCTTTATAATGATATAAAATTAATGTACTTCAGTTCAGTAAGAACAGCAGAAATATTTAATGAGCGACATGAGAACAGTAACGTGCATCGAAAATATGTTCTAGAACTTGTAGCTAAATTTCGGGAAACTGGGTCAGTCGCCAATAAAAAACGCAACATTGAAAATCGCATAAGGAACGAAGCAATAGAAGTGGGGATTTTAGGGCAAGTTTATGTAGATCCTACGTTAAGTACCAGCAAATTGGAGACTGTGTGTGGTGTTAGTCGACGTACTGTCCAACGGATTCTAAAGTTCCATAGTTTTCGTCCGCATAAAATTCACCTGGTACAAGAACTTAATGAAGACGATTTTGATCGGCGATTACAATTTTGTGAAGATATGAGTGAACGAATTATAAACGATGAACATTTTCTATTCAACACTTGCTTTTCCGACGAATGTTCCTTTTTCTTAAATGGCGTAGTAAATCGTCATAACTGATATTGGTCCGATTCTAATCTCAGAATTTATCATGCGGTTCATACACAGCAGCCACAAAAATTAAATGTTTGGGCTGGTATTTTTGGCGATCATCTAGTTGGTCCTTTTTTCTTACAGCCATAATTGAAAATCAGAATGATCGGCGGTACATTGAGAATATGTTGATGTTCCAACAGGATGGTGCCCCACCACATTACGCATCACGTGTTCGACAATATTTAGATCAGACGTTTCCAGATCGACGGATTGGTAGAAGAGGTGCCATTGAATGGCCCCCAAGATCGCCAGATTTATCACCTTTGGATTTCTTTATGTGGGGTCATTTAAAAAGCAAAATCTATGCTCTTCAGCCAACATCATTAGAAGACCTGCGACAAAGAATTGTGAATGAGTGCCTTCAAATTACTCCTCAAATATTGCAAAATGAGCGGCATCGTTTTGAGCAAAATCTTTATTATTGCAGGGAGAGTCATGGTGGCCATTTTCAACATTTACTTGCCCAACGGGTCAGTTCATTCTTCATTTTTAAATTACTTTGCTGCCGAATGTATTGATCTCCACTAATGATGATGTATTAGTTTTATTTAAGCTTTAAATCAACAAATCTTCAAAACTACTGAACTGAAGTACATTAATTTTATATCATTATAAAGCGAATTGAAAGACCTTTAAAATAAGGTATCACTCGACCCCCCTTTCCATTTAAGATTTTGGGGGTGGTGTCACCCCCGCTTAGAGGGCTGCACGTGCTAACGTGATTTTTTTTGCCATACTTGTGTCCCACTCGAAAACAAAATCGACGGGTCCGAGCGTTTTTCCAAAGAAAAAAACTGAGCTGCCAGTAAATGCGTCTGTTTCGTTTTCGATGCGCCACCCTGTATATCAAAACATAGAAAATCACGAATTTATACCTGCGTACATCGAACCATGCTCCACTACCAGTTGTTAAATGAAAGGTATCACTACATGCCAAGTATTATCCCGGTGACAAAAAAGTGAGTGTCGATCCCTCAACCTCCGCACTATCGTGACAAAAGTTGCTTGCAGCAGCCACCCACTGCTTCACTTCCAAATTAATTTTTTTTGCTTTTAGGAGATATTCCAACTGGTGCTGTCCGTAGAGTACGCAGGTGACCAGTTGTCGCCCCTAAATGTGGTAGGCCTGTGCGTCTGTCTAGGCGGAATCACCTGCCACGTGGTGCACAAGATACGTGGGGAGGCCCTGAAGCCGGCGTCTACGGTGAAAGCAGTTTCGCAGAGGCACTCAGACTACGACCTGGACCTGGAGCCGGATGACATGAGGGACCAGCTGATCAATGGCAGGCTCGAGTGCGAGCCAATCAGTGACGATGATGACGCACGTAGTGAGACCGAAATACTGTTTGACATACTGAACAGGCGGGATAGATAGCACTGCACCAGAGCGAGTAGTTGACAGTATTTGTAAAATGACAAGTGAAATACAAAGACTTTGATTATCATAGGGAAGCATTTTATGTATTTTTTAAGTTGTAAGTGAAAATGTCCATATTTGTAACTCACAATTATTATTTGTTATTATCCGTTTTTATGGATAAATTCAGAATAAACGTTATTTATCAAGTTTGATTTTTTATTTTCAGATAAAAAATATGCAGCTGAACTGAGATCTTGATTAGCGCATTACTTTCAATCCCAATATACGCAATTACGTATAAAGAGTACAAAAAAGCATGTCAAGTAGATCGACTTAGTACTTTCTTTAGATAAATTCAAATTCCAAACTCATGCATAAAATTTGATTTTAAATTAAATATTATTTACTGTTTTCAAGATATCCCATAGAATGCAGTTCTTAGATGGGAATGAGAACTATTGAGGACAAAATTATTCAACAGTTTCGACCAAAACCTGTTTCTTGAATAAATCGGGTACATAGATCACGAATATGGTAACTGTTTTTTGTCGAAAGCCTTGAGAGACCCCAAAGTCCCATTTTCTAACGAAGGTTTTGCAATAATTTAGCATTTTTTGATAGCCTTATTCAAAATCCGCAGCGCCTCAAGTTACTTCAGTGTACTGAGTTTCGTTTGTGTGTAATAACAAATTACGAAAATTGCAACATATTTGGAATATCTACCAAAACATGCATTAGTAAATTGGGCGCGTACATCACGAATATGATGTCATTTCTCACTGATATTCACGAGAAGTTCTAAAAATCCCATTTTCCTACTCTAAAGAGAGCTTCACAAGACTTGTGAAGCCCTTTTTAGAAAGGCTATATATTTTCAAATATAGCCTTCAAACTACATCCCAAATTACCCGTCATCAGATTTTTGTTCGCTTGTACTTACTGGTTACTAAAAAGGAAACTTTTTATCGAGAAACTTCAAAATTGGAAGGCAATTGGAGAAAAAAATGCAAGAATTCCAGTGTTTTTGCAATCTCGACGAGAACCGGCAGAAGGCAACCTATTTTCCTACCCTAAATAAGACTTAGCGACACTTAAGCATTTTTTATGATATATTATGAATCAGCGTTCCAAATTACGAATGTATGTACCCTGTTTCGTTAGCTTGTTACTACAGGTACAAAATTGAAATTTTTTGCATATAGAAACTCAAGTTTAAAGGCATAAACTAATGATGGTATTTTTAACTAATTTTTGAAATATTTAAGTAAAATCATAGGTCAGTTTATTTATCAAAAACTGCGACACTGACATGGGTAGCTGTTTGGTCATACTACTCCAAGAAATAAATGCAACTGTATATTTATAGATAATATATTTTAAATGAAAGCCAAATTTTATGACGTGCATACGAATTAAACATTTATATTTTGTCTGTAATGAATACCTGATTAATTGGGAAAATATTACAAGAAAGCGTTTTGTGGTTTATTTCCTAATAAACCAACTTTATGTATGAGCAGTTATTGTCTACCAAACGTCAAGTAATCGTTGATTGAGGATAAGTATAAAGAGCAAAGAGGCCTCATACAAGCACCTTGTTCAAATAAATAAATAACCTCTGGTACTATTCATTTACGATTGTTCGAATCAGAATTACTGAAGACACTATTCGGGCATGTAGCGTAGTGATCGGAATCTAATGGAAAACGGTTAAAAACATCTAACTAAAAATATTTATAATGGAAGAAAATAGAAAAGGGCCCATACATTATGTTAATTTTTTCAATGCCAAGTTACTCTAATGTGACATAATAATAAGATCAAGCATTGTTTTCAAGTCGTAATTTGATACATAACGCAACAAATCGTAGTTGGTTTTCAAAGTAGGAGGGACCCTAGATTTTATTGTCGAAAAGATGGATTGCATGGGGCGAGATATAGCACCTCACAGAGTCATTTTGTAACTATGCTCATATCTGACCAGGAAAAGCTTCCTTTTGTAGATTGTTCCAAAATCTGGACACCCTAGGGACAAAGGAGCGGTCGGATCGGCCAGTTCTGGATGTACGAAGTCCGACACGGTTAGGATGGGAGTCAGGCTATGAGGAGCAAAGCCCATTGGTGTAGCGATAGAAGAGAGCTGGATCGCCGGCGGCCCGCCCGGTGCGAAAGAGCCCGGGGCGGCAGAACCACAAACATGTGAGCAATACTCGAGGCTAGGTCTTATAGAGTGAGGAGGTCACGTGGAGAAAAGTAGTTCTTAGCACTAAACAAATAGCCCAGCTTTTATATGAGCGCTAGGACGTTTTTTGTCCGTCAAGGTACAGTACCCTGTTTTCCATAATTCTTTCGAGTTAGCGACATTCAGCGCGACGTCTAATTTCGAAGTGACTGACGTACTTACAGAAAGAAGGACAACAACAATATAAGTTTCTGGACATTTTATTATAATCGTAGATGTGACGGAAACGCTCTTGATAACACATTCTCTACTATCGGCTTAATGGAGAAAAAAAAACAAGATGCGCAACAATTCACGACCGCATGCAGTCAAAACTTTTACCTTTAAACTAACATCTGCAAGGAATGTTCAAAGTCACCCTACTTGACTATATTTTCACGAATGTGGAACCTTTGTGTACGCGCAATTTGATGCGCGTCTTATAAATCGCGAGCTGGTCCGTTTGCGACATATACCATAAATTTATGCATCCGATAAGATGTACTCGTCTTCTACGATCCAGCTGTGCCTGCGGCTGTTTTCATTCGTAGGGAACAATCCTAAGACAGGATTTACGAAGTTTCAAGTACTGTTGTTTTCCTTGCCGATGTTGAGTGCGTTCTATTTGAATTTTCTGGCTGCCTTGCGATACTGTACTGAACCAGATCATCGAACACTGCTAGAAATGTCCGATATAATCTCTTGTGTTTTGCTCATGACTCACGTAAGTTCACATGCCATCTTTTCATGTATACTTAGGATTAAATGACAAAAACGAAAAACATCGACAATTGTCAATTTGCATTCATATTGGAAGGACTCAATTTGCAAAATACACACCAGAAATTATTGACAACTGGCAATAGTGACTGGAAATATGTGTAGACAACATTTTCTACAATTCCTTTTTTGTACTTATTCATCCCCGCATGAAGTTTGCACTCAACTTGGATGATGAATGTTCAGGATTTTGATGTTTGGTAATTGAGAAAAAACTATGGGCTCACGTCTAGCTTTACTTGATAACATAACATGATCTTTTCATTTTTAAGAGCTGTTTCAAATCTGTACCGGTGTTTGTTGCAAAGAAGGAAATATTCGCACTGTTACACACTATGGAGATACAATTTTGGGATGAAAGTCAACTTCTAACGGCTCAACAAAAACATATATACAACAAGAAACATAGAGAGCTGATGAAAAAGTGCAAGTTATACGTATGTCTGTATCTCATGACACTTATATCATTTTTTTTGGTAAGAGAATATATTCATCAGAGAGCTGCGAAAAAAAGAGAAATATAATATTGAAATAATTGTATGTGCTTGAACCGACTATGTATAAGAATTTATTTCAGATTCCTCTTGTCAGTGAAGGACAAGCTCTATCATTTGAGTTATATAGGCCTCAATTCATACCATATTACTACCAACTACTTTTAAACAACATGTGTGGAGTGTTGAATACTTTGTTCACAATTTTGCCTACTGATATGTTGTTTTTATGCTCTATCACGCTCACTGAGATACAGTTTCGACTGTTAGGCAGCCAAATATCACAACTTTTTCAGAAAAGTGGTGAACTTGACTTTGAAGCCCGAAAAGAGTTGAGTAGATGTATCAGGCATCATGGATTTCTTTTGAGGTAGATGATATAATTATAATGACTAGGAGTATAATGTACATACATATAATTAAAAAGGCATAGATTAATTGTGGTAGTTTTAAAGTATGAGACCATACTTTGTTCACTATTTTTAGCAAATCGGAAATTTACTAACATAAAATACTGGTATCTTGCCTAATAACATTAGTCACCCAACTTTCGTTGGCGACATCACTTCAAGATCTCACAAGGCAATCCTTGAAAATTAGTAACACTTTAATCAAAACCTTCATATGTTTTAGCTACATAAAGCAAATAACACAAACATACTCCAATATGCTAATGATGTACTTTGGGCTCATACTAGTCAGTACATGCATAGAAATGTACAAGTCCAGTTCATCGTGAGTATCCTATTGATACCTACGGACAAATTCTAATATTTATTTATGTTTGTTTAAGAGCAGACACCAAAACAGTTTTCCAATCTGTGATGTATATTTCATCTGTAATGTATGAATTCACGTTTTGCTTCTGCTTTCCAGTACAGAAACTGATAGATCAGGTAAAATCAAGGTAAAATAGTACATCTTCTGCTTTTCCCTTGCTACAAATACAGACAGATAGGGCCCCACCCAAGGTTCCAGTTAATCTTAGTCTGCATATTTTGCAAGATCAATAATCCTGCAGAACAAACAGGAAGATAGACAAGCCAGTTTTCTATGTGGTATTAGTATGCTACTATTTTTTTGGCTTAGAACTGTCTGTATACCCATCAGTTTTCGACAAAATTTCGCAATTTGCCGGTGAAATCGACTTTACCTATTTAATTTATTCCATTGTATAGAAACAAAAAGAATTCGAATTGACATATTATTTTACAAGTAGCTTGGTGAATTGTGGAAATTTCTATTTCAAATGTCGTTTTAGATTGTAAGTGTAATCTGTAGCGAGTCATTGAGGATTGTATTTTTTTATTACCAGAACCATACGTACGTCAGAAGAAAATGACAATTTATTTTCGGAAATACTTGAAATATCTAGATCTAGATATTATATGGTTTATTTTGATATTTGACAACGGATGTGCTGAAACGGAACACGCGTTACATAGCTGGTATAATAGTACTACCTGTCGTTTTAGATACGATCCTAGTATGATACGGTAAAACTGGCAGATACCTTAAAGTATAATTTTTTACATAAATGTTGCATCGAAAACAAGAACATTATGTAGAAAAAAATAATTTTCATTTTTTATAGGCATATCAACTTGGCGATCACATTTACCTCAGTAATTGGGAAAGCGCCCAATATTTTAGTAACGAAATTCTGTTGATGATAGCAATGAGCCAAAAAGGTGTTCGTATAGCAGCTGGAGGAATGACGGATATCAATTTTGCCACAGGATTGAATGTAAGTCTATTAAGGTATCAAAAAGGGTTGTTATGGTTACGTTTAAAGTATCTCGTTTATGAAGTTTTACAAAACTTCTAAGAAATCAGCGCTTTCAGTAAGAATAACTTAGAAACAACAAATTAATGCGGTCATGTAGAAATTAAAAAAAAAGTAAGACGTAAATATATTCAATTCTGGTACTACGTTCCAAAGAAAAGTTGTAGATATCCCCTTTAAATAGTCAATATACTAAAATTTTGTTTACCTCGATATTTATCTTTAACGTATTTTTTCAGACTGTTAAAGCAATGATATCGTATACCACATTTCTGAAGACGGTTACTGGAGCAGATTAGATGCTAAACATATATTGTTAATAAACTTTTTGAACATCTATACGTATTTTTTTGCAAGTACTGTTAGGTGAAATAATGATTTTGACATTGGCAATGGTGACACGGTATTGCGAAAAAATAAACGTTATGTATGTATGGTCTGGTGAAATACTTAAGAAATGCGTTCCGCTATGTAGGTTACAAAAAACAACAGTATTTTAAATAGAGCAACAACTGGTATCTATTACATTTTAATTCGATTAAAATGTATAATCCGTGTTAAATTCTAATATATCTATGTACAAGACGATATGGTGGTGTAAATTATGTTAAGTTATACCATGATACGATATGCTGAAATAGTATAGTTTTAGATATTTCCGATAAGCTCCCTTAAAAGGGGAAAGTATTCACTTCACAATTTTATAGTAATTTCTTTAGCGAGGTATTGATTAGTGTAAAATAATGAGTGTACTAGAATTCTTCCTGTCTTGGTTACTTCTTTTCTCTGAAGTCTTTGGTAAGTACAGATACTAACTTCATTTATGTTTAGATCACTATAATAAATACCTTATGACTGTCAATCTGATTAAAAGATCACGCCGCGACACGGTGCTTTAGACGGTATCCACGGTGGCCCAACGAAAAGGTTGCACGCTTATTTGTGACTCTCTTGGTGTATTTTGGGAAAAACGCTTGGACACGTCAATTTTCATTTCTAGGTGGACGTCTTTTCATCTATAACCGTACAATACAGGGTGATCCAAAAATAAGATATTGCCTTACACTTTAAATTGAAACCCTCATTTTTTTAATTTTTAGATATTCCAAGAAGTTTTTAGTAACTTTTATATAATAAACTTTATACCTATCTTCAATCGTTGTGAATTTATTTGAGTTTATAATGAAATTCTAGAAACTCAGAGTTTACACGCACATTAAAGTTAAAGTAAAGATTAAGTTACTAGGAACAAAATTAATAAAACAAGCAGGACTCCTTTGTCTACTAAAAAAATAGGACAAATATGCTATACGTATCTCGCCAGTCACTTGTATAACTTGCTGCCTGATGAAATAAAAAAGTAGCTTCGTTATGAAAATTTAAAAAAGAAATAAAAAAAAATTACTTGAAAAGGGACAACAACAAGTTCACAGAATCATAGAAAAATGTTACCGATTTTATTACGTATTTTTACAATATAAATGTTTGACCCATCTATTATGTTTGTTTTATTGATAAAGTTCATTAGTGTTTCCTTTGTCTTTAGTATCTTTTAAAAAAAAGTATAGATGTTTTAACAAATTAGTATATTGTTGGTTAGGTGGTTCCACTGATTCGGGAAATGGGTGTCCAAAAACTGTGTTAGTGAAACCACATAGTGCGGTGCACCATCTTGTTGGGAATTAATATAATTTCCATTATAATTAACGTCATTTTCTATTAGTTCGGTAATTCGTGGCTCTGTTTTCTAACATGTGCAAGTACGTTTCGCCCGTCAAGTTTCCAGCAATAAAGAAAGGTCCTACAATATGATTTCCGAAAATGCCGGCACACATTGATTTTTTCAGGATACTGCAAGTGTACCTCTCGAAACAAATGTGGATTCGAGTCACTCCAATATCGACAATTATGTCTATTTACAGCACCAAGTAAATAGAACGTACACTCATTCGTGAAACAAATATTAAATAAAAGATTTTCATTGTTGATTAAACGTTGGGACATTAATTCGCAAAACTCCAACCTTCTATCGAAATCGTCTTCATTAAGCTCATTGACAAGTTTTGCTTCCATTTTGATAATACATTTTGGTTATTTCTACCCTTTCATGCATTTTATAAGTCATTGTTCAATATTTATCACAACTAGGTAGGTAACTTAAAATTTTGAAATGAAAGAAAGTTTTTCTATGGCATACGATGACACTGACTGGTGGACTGATGCTAAATATTCTTGCTGGTATCCATGATTATTATTTTGTGTCGGTAGTCGAATTTTATCACTAATTCAAATGGCTTCACAACGATTAAAGATAGGTATAAACTTTATTATACAAAAGTTACTAAAAACCATGCAGATTCTAAAAATTAAAAAAATGGGGGTTTCCATCTAAAGATCAAAAGTATAACGCAATATCTTATTTTTGGATCACCCTGTATTGTACGGCTATAGATGAAAAGACGTCCCCCTAGAAATCAAAATTGTCGTGTCCGAACGTTTTTCACAAAGGGGGTGCGACATTTTCGTTGGACCACCCTGTATATGGAGTACCACAATAGATCCACATGGGTCGCAGTAGCGTCTAGGCGTAATCTGTTTGTGGTTGTCAACGATGCTTCAATTAAATGAATATGAATCCTGAGGAATAAGTGTACTACGTAACTATTTTCATTTCTTTCTTCAGCACGATTTTCTTCAGATGAAGTTAATATTAATAGAATTGTTGATGGTACAGATGCGGACGATGGTGAATTTCCATATGCTGTGAGTATACTATTCCTCTGAATTAGTATTATTGTAAAATGAAAATATAATATTGAATACAAATTAGAAATTGACAAGCCTCTGATTATTTTTTCTACGATGAATGTAGTTTCATACAATATGGATTTTTAGGTTTCGTTGAGATATAATTCTAAACACACTTGTGGAGGTACAATACTCAGCGAAAAATACATTTTGACAGCAGCGCACTGTGTTTGTAGAAATGACGAGTATGTATACACTTAATATGAATATTTTCTGGATTCGTCATGTACCTTTTTTCCATTGGTGATTCGATCCATACCATTATTTTTAAGGCCAAGAGATCCACAAAATTATACAATACAGTATGACATGTTGAAAATCACTGAGGACGACGTCAACACTGTTCAAGTTGCGGAAATTAATTGCCACGACTTTGATGCAGAAAAGTTGGTATACGATTCTGCTGTTTTGGAAGTGAGTTTTTTTTTTGTCGGATGGTACTAGACATCAAAATCAATGTAATATTTTTCTAATAAATGTTCAATATTTCACAATTTATAGTTACAGATTGACATAAAGAATTTGATTTTGATTTGATATATTAGTGTGAACAAGTGGGTCAAGATCTTACAAACGTAATATCTGTATATTCAATTTATAGTTAGAGTCTCCAATACCAGAAGGTAAATGGAAGCCAGTAAAGATTGCCAAAGAATTTACACCATCTGAAGGACAAAAAGGAACTATTATTGGTTGGGGCCGAATATTTGTAAGTTCTTCTTCCTCAATCAAATCTCATTTTTGTTAAAGTCACCATCTTCTATAATTTTATTAAAATAATGTATTCAATTTGGACCCGACAGCATGGTGGTCCGATTTCTAGAATGCTGCAAAAGATAGAAGTAGAAGTATACGACGACGAAACATGCGGGAAAAAATTTAGTAATGAACATCACATTTGTCTTGGAGCTCCCCCTTTGGGCGGCGCATGTAATGTAAGTAACTATATTTAGTGCCAATAAATAAATGAGATATAATGAAGGAGAAAACTTCGCTTGAACATGGACTGAAACTCTGTATATTTGTTTCAGGGAGACTCTGGCACAGCTCTTATTGTAGATGGCGTTCAAGTTGGAATAGCATCATTCATCACAAATCTCTGTGGCACATCAAATAAACGCTATCCAAATGTATATTCCAGAGTTTCTAGCTATTATGATTGGATCCACAGTGTCGCTGAGAATTTGCAGGCAACTTATTAAAAACTTATCCAATAATGTCGATTCTTTTTCTCTCATACACTTCTAATACCTTTTGATGAAGAATGGGTTTGTAAAATTTGTATATCTATACTGGACATAGTATTTTTAAATCTCTTACAAACTTACTTAATCCATCTCCCTTAACCTGCCCAGTAAATCATACCACAGAAAACGGATAAATTACGTTAAATAATAGTTCAATTATATTAGCTAATTTCCCCGAAATAATTGTAGTCTGGTTTAATTGAATCATTTTGTTCAAGAGGATATATAAAACATGGACGCATAAAACGGGTACACCAATTTTTGTGAGAAACCTTTTTATTCGACAACAAAGAATGAGAAAATGTTTTTTTTGGGGATTAAATCGAAAGTGTTGGCAGGAACGAAAAAACTCTTCAAATAAAATTTTTAGGTATTTATGCAGCTATTTGAGATTCTTCAAATCCGAAGGCTTCTTACTTCTAAATAACCACAACAAAATTGGAGTCGATTTGCCAAGTAGTTTTTGAGAATATGTAATTGTTTATCCCAAAACACCTGTCTTCTGGCCATTACTACTAGTTTATTTGTTTTAGTAAAATACACGAGTTTACCTTGCCGACATAAATCACAAGCCATTCCGCAAGAGTTATTTTTATACGAAAAACGAATCTGCTCAGTTGCTCATATATACGAAATGTTTGAATTTGTTTAGAAGAAAAAAACGTAGCCCTTCGTTTTCCGCATAAAAATAACAATTATCTTTCGGAATGGTTTGTGATTCATGTCGGTAAGGTAAATTCTTGTATTTCACTAGACAATGCCCTTTGAATGAACCCTGTATATTGTTAAGTAAACTAGTAGTTATGGCCGGAAGACAGGTGTTTTGGGATAAATAATTAGAAATTCTCAAAAACTACTTGACCAATCGACTCCAATTTTGTTGTGGTTATTTAGAAGTATGAAGCCTAAGGATTTGAAGCATTTCAAGTGGCTGCGTGAAATTATCGTCGCATTAGCAGCAAGTGCCAAAACCTGCATCTTGCCGCGGTTTTCGGCCATAACCTTTTTACTGTTAGTGGTATATTTTTACGTATGGTCGCATTCTATAGGTCTCATAAATACCTGAAAATCTTATTTGAAGAGTTTTCCCGTTCCTGTCAACACTTTATCAATTAAATCCCCAAAAACGGGTTTTAATCATTCTTTGTTGCCGAATAAAAAGTTTTCCCACAAAAACTGGAGTACCCATTTTATGCGTCCATGTTTTTAATACCCCCTTCAACAACTTGCATCAATAAAACCAGATTTTACAATTATGACGCAAACCAGGGGTATTTTCGTCTTAGACTATAAATCTCACTACCAAGCTAGTTTGCAATTCCAAATTTTATTTCACATTTTGTGATTTTGTATTTCAAAGGAACTCGCAGCGAAAGCCGCAAAACTTCAGCAAAGTATTCCATCCAACTTACATATGTTAATTAAATTTATTGTTTAAAATGTATTAAATGTTTTTTGTTGATTAGGATTAGTTAAATGGGCAGTCATAACTTCATTACATCAAGTCATCAATCCAAAACGTACTCCTAATTTGACTAAAACTAATACCTGTACTTCTGAGCTACTTTGGGATGAATTAATTTATTTTAATTTTCTTACTTATTTTTGTTACAGACTAGTACCTATTTATTAAATCAGATTTCTTTATCCTTAAAGTGAATTATGCATGTAAAATCCAGCAGATGCGTAATTGATAACAGAACTGACCTTACGATTTCAAATATGTAGTTTGCTATAATCAAAGACGCTGAATTATAGCTACATTATTTATTCATTTATGTTTCCGATTTTTATGGCGCAAAGGAATATAAGGAAATTTAAATGGGAAGGTGGAAAAATGGATTTTCTCTATAGATAATGCTGTCAATATGGAAATAAATCTTCTCAGAGTAGAGCTAGAAGTGACATTTTTACAACTTTTTAACTTTTATTTTTTGAAAGATTGATATAGTAACGTCCGAAAACTGCAGCGTTTACTTGGAGCGTTTTGTCTTCCACGCAATTCAGTATAATTAACATAATGGCAACAGTCACCATCTAGCAAATCTTTCCACGGGTAAATAATGTTCATTATTCACTAACAATTGACTCCAAAAGAAAAGCGCCATATGTGTCAAATGATTGTTCAGCTTGCGCCCTTAATTTTTGTCAATGGTTTCATGTCATTGAGGGAGTTCGGTTGTGACTCATCAAACGTTTTTAATTCAGTCGTTATTAATAGAAATCTAATAACAAGAAGCATCCCATTATTCAAAAAAATCTTTGATCCTACTATGGAATTTCAATATTTTGGAAGTACTTACCTATGCGCCAGTAGACTTCCTCGATCTTTGCAAATACATGCACTCACTAAGTGTATAACAACACTTGCAGTGATAAATGTAGAGCGGAATTACCTGTTTTTTCCCACTAACATTTCTACGAAAGTCTAAGTATACATAAAAAAAACACGTGACCACTTCCTGAGTACCTGCCCCTTTATTGGTTAATCCTGTTAAGCATGGTCACCATATGCTCTAAAAGACCAAAGGCACCACACAGTCACTTAGGATTCAGGTAGTTAGGTCTTATATTTTCCTGTTAATATATGTTCTCGAGGAAGTAAAGATATAAGTTTCAGAGATTAGGTGTAGACTCGTATAGATCTAATTTAATGATTTCAACACCGATCTGGTAAACGAATACAGTAAAAAAACAGCTAGCTCTATGAGAGCATAACGAATTAAAAACTATTAATTAATTATCTTAAAAGAGCATCATAAAAAGGTATTTTAATCATCTTCCTCAATTACGGGTTCCCCAAATCTGGAAATTTTAGCTTTGGTCCCTTCCAACTCCATCTGTACTTTCTTCCTGATGTAAAATATTGGACAATCACGACTAGTGCACAAAATCTCCTCAAACAGCGATCCTTGACATCGCTGACACTCCGTGAACAGGGCAGCGAATCTGTCTTCAAGCATTCTGTGATGACATAACTCTTGTTGATAGATAACGCCCTCTTTGGGCTTACAATAAGCGCAAACGGCTTCATCTTGATACTCTTTTGTCAATACCGACTTGCAACCTATGCACACTTCCTTTTTCTTGGTGAAAGCTGATAAAGCGCCGACTTTTGATGTGACTACTGTTCGTTTTCTCGTATGTTCACCACCTGCAATGTTTGCATACTATTACGATTGAAAAATGTAATCGAACCGTTTTACTTTTAAACTGCCAGTGAAAGGAATTGAAAACACTTATTTGAGCGTTTCATCACAGTGTACGGCCAGTACAATCACTCTGACTGACACTTCTCATACGCGCACGCATAGCAGTACAGGTTCTGGCACAGAGAGCGCCAATGTAAGCGGAGCTGTCGACGCGCTCGTTTCAGCCTAAGCCAGCGACAGACACAGCGGTTCAGAGTCGGACTTTGTTTTCAGCGCTGTTAGCTGCATTGACCTGGGCATTGTTCATCGTTCGAGTAACCTGATTATATTATGAATCAAACAGGTTCTTTCTGTATGTAGATGACTGTTTCGAGTTTGAATAAGTGCCTTATAAATAACTTCAGAAAAGCAGCTACGAGGTCCTCTATTTCTATACTTCAGAAGTTACTGCTCAGACTCAATACAATTTGGACACAAAGGTACCGTTGAGTCAATGAGAGAATACCTTAATTGCTTTTGCCAATAAAGGCACACGAACAAGAAAAAAAAAGAAAATCTGTGACTATTATTTTTTGACATACAAAACTTCATGAGGGTCAACACTTAAAAGATGCCAAATTTTGTTATTTGACGTTTTTCTACTTTCCGATTTTTCGGGCCATCGTAGAAATACAGGTTGATGATACCAGGCATGCCTTTTATGGTAGCATGTCGAAACAACACTTAGAATTTCTGTGTAGCTAAAATGTCTCTGAGCCGTGTTTAATCAATTTGAGTGGAAACGTTTGCAAAATTCGATTGACTAAATAGTAATTCTCGAAAAAAAAATTCGTCGTTTCGCAAAATTGTGTAACTATAAACAAATAAATTGATGGCGTCATCAAAAAATACATAATAATTTTGCGTAAAGATACCAGGGCGGTCCAATAAGTACTTAGCCTTACCGCCCAATGGCGGCACTATTGAACGAGAAATTTACTATCGTGCCGTACATTCTCGTAGGCGGCTACTGTCAAAATTTCAGCCGAATCGGACTCGTCGTTTTGTTTTGACCGTGCGTGGAAGCGGAGGTGTCCGCGGATTTAAGAAAAATGAAAAAAGGGCAATATCGGTCGGAGATTCGTTTCTATTTTTGGATGGGAAATCTCGCACCGAAATCAAAGACCGCTTGAATGCTGTGTCTCACGATACATCAAGAAAAACACCAAGTCCGTCTTTGTGGAAATAGTATTGTGGAACATTTTAATCAAATCTATCCACGCCTCATCTTGTTATCAATAAGCCGTAAGCTATACGATATATTCGGACAGAAAACTTATGTTAAAGCAACTTACATGCAACATATTTAATAATACTTACGTAGAAGTATTGATTCTGCGTTATCACCTAATACTGGTTCAAATATCCGAATTAGAGGTTTCGACAACTGGTTTTCAAGATAATAGTTTGCATCAATTGGGATATTGTTCTCTAATACGTAAATGGGATCCTGTAAAAAGTGAAAAACATGTCACAAACCATTCAGTTTCTTGCTTACGTGAAAAATGAACCCAAGATCTACATTGTACCTAATCAGAAATTAATATCCGAAACAGAAATATTATTCTGCGATAAGTTGCAATAACTTACTTCTGCCTTTTCATATGCTTTAGCATTTTTAATACCAGCAATGATAACATAAGGAATACGATCGCCCAATTTAGGAGCATTTCCTGGATCTCTCTTAGCAATTTTTTTGGCCAGTTCAACGTGAGCCTGCTTAGCCGCATAATCCTCATCGTTTTTTGTCAGCTCCTTGGTTATGACTAGCTGAGATATGTCTATGTTGTTCTGCAATAGGTCTGCAATAACTTGCTTGACATAATTGACGGCACCATCAGGATCTCTGAAACCAGGTAAGAAACGGTTGTAAACAAATGGAAAAGTTGGGCTTTAGACATGAGTATGAATACTTCCACGAAGAACAAAGAAATATATGGTGCTGGTATATCATCAAATCTCTTAGTAAGAGACTTCGATGAATAATAAAATTGTAGTCCATACACGAGCGTTCTTGAATAGCAGATGAATGTGAAATGTTCACACAGCATTCGCATTACGAAAGATTATCCGATACGAACGGCCTCTATTCGTCATTGTCTGTCAAGGCGGTCCGTAGGACCTTTGCATTTGTGTCAAAAGACGTCAGTCAGTTTGTTATTCTGTCGGCCTGGTCACCCAGAAACCAGACATGATTAATAGAAAGCAAACAAAAAAAATATTGAAAAAAGAGGGAGAGCAAAGAGAAAAAAATAAAACTGTTAGAAAGACGTCTGAGCATTGTTGAAAATTACTGTAATAATTTTGGTTGCCGAAAAAGAATTTGGTTGGTTTTTTGTTAAAATATTATTTTATATTGCGCGATTCTATTTTGTTTACAGTGCGAGCCGCGGTCTGGAATGTTTGCCAACTTGCTCCACTGTGTAGTCTTTTGACTCGCGCAACAAAGGGTTGTAATGCAATTCAGCTTGTTCATAACGTCGCTGCGTCTGATGTTTAATGAAATTCTCTAAATAATTGATGTCGAGATCTCTGTGTAGGGTTTTGTTTGAGACATACCATGGGGCATTGGTGATGGTTCGTAGGGTCCTGTTTTGCAGGACCTGCAAAGCTCGCATGTGCGTCTTCGCTAGAAAGCACCAAGCTGCACATGCGTATGTAATGGTGGGTCTGATGATCATTTTGTAAATTCGAATTTTGTTAACCAAGCTCAATTTTGAAGATTTTATTATATTATATTAATATTCATTAACAAGGGATAAAGTTGCCGGAAAGTAATTTGAAATTTAGTTTTAAGCGTTTCTGTGTTTTCGCCAAATCATACCCTTGTCAAGTGTAACTCCAAGATATCTCACGGAATTTTCCCACGGTATCAGAGATCGCTGACGGGGCGCCGCGACGCTTTTTGGTCCAACAGATGGCCTGCGTTTTGATCAGTCACCGATCTGCCCACTCTAACACTTCTTCCACTGCACATTGTAGCCAGTCATGGACCAGGTTACCAGAACAGGATCCTGCCACTAATGCAGTGTCATCAGCGTAGAGATAGACTTCATAGTTGCTGGGGTTTGGGTTGTCATGAATAAACAAAGAATAATGGATTGGTCCAAGGACTGAACCATGAGGAACACCGGCTCCAATAGGCCGTGTTGTTGACAGTACGTTGTTAATTTTGATTCGTAATTTCCTTCCTTCGAGAAAGGACTTAAGGAGTTTTAGAAGCCATAAAGGAAAACCCCTTTGGATTAATTTATAGAGGAGGCTATCATGGCACACCTTGTCAAAAGTCTTCGCGACATCCAGAAACATGCTGCCAGTACTTTTGTCATTGGTGAATCTGCTAGTTATAAGCTCGGCCAGTCAAACTGCCTGCAGCTCCGTGCTATGCTCCGACCGAAACCCGAATTGAACGTCGGGAATCATATTAGGATCCGACGAGAAATTCTGAAGATGACGGAGAATCACCTTTTCAGCGAGCTTACTGTAAACTAATAGGACAATAATTCTGGGGAAATATCGAACCAGCCTTCTTTGTGATCATGATATCCTTCGTAAACGAATGCAAAAACCTTGGTATCTGGTTTGACTGCAAGCTACGCTTCACTAAACATGTTAACCAACTATGCAATGCGTCCTATAATGTGCTTCGTCAGTTATATCCGAGTCGAAGTGTCCTGTCGACACAGCTCAAGCTTAAACTCTGCGAGTCCCTTATCCTGTCAAAATTATCTTACGGTGACTCTGTTTATGGACCTGCTCTTTTACAACGTGATGCCGAGCGGATTCAGATAATACAAAACTCATGCATCAGATTTTCTTGTGGAATCCGTAAATTTGATCATATTAGTAGCGCTTTTGACCAATCGGGATGGTTTAAGATGAACAAATTGAGGAAACTGCATTGCCTATCTCTGGTACATAAGACCCTTATCCTTAAAGCGCCATATTATCTTTATACAAAACTAAGCCTCCTCTGCCAGTACGATCAAAGATCCTCTAGGAATAAACTCATCTTACTTATCCCGCGGCATTCGACAGCATTGTTCACACGCAGTTTCTCGTACTGGGCACCCAAACTATATAACTGCTTATCAAGTGAGTATAAAGAATATAGCCTAAGCAATTTTAAAAAAAGGTTAAAGATGAGTTTAAAGCAGTCGGATGGCTAAAATTTTACTTTATGCATATCCACAGGTAATTGATTGTTTCCTTTCTCTGATAAGTGTTATATTCTAAGTTTTTTTTTCTCTCTCTCTCTATAGTTTGTGTCAATGTTTTCCCGGTCGGGTTGAAAAACAGCATAAGCTGACACTCCACCTTTTCGTCACTGTTCCTTTTAAACCAATTATTTTGTAATCGTGTGACGAATAAAGGCCATTTATTATAACCTCGGCCTCCTTCGACACCTTAGGGAAATATTGGGCCTTAAGCCTTGCATTGATTACAGTCACGAAATACGTCAAAGCTTTTGGAGAGAGCAGCTTCAGCGCCTTGTTAGTAATTTGATCCTCTCCAGGTGCTTTACGCAACTTGAGGTCTTTATTTATTTATTTATTTACTCTCCTACAAACACATAAAAATGTATTTAAATGTAAGAGCCCTTATTAAAAAATAAATTACAAAGACAAAACAACATTTTAAAATGTAAAACAGAGATAAAATATATATAATATATAAAATAGCATATAATACTGATGGCATCAAGGCAATGTGTTGTTTAGAAACACATCCTTGATTTGTCCTTCTGATGTTCAAAAAAGGTCTAAAACACACTGTTACATAAGAATGTTACATTCGTACATCATCCTATTTATAGAAGAGCTACTACTATCTTCTGACACTGCAACTTTTTGTTTTTTCTTATTCTTAGTTTAACTTTAGGAACTACAAATAATCTATATTTATATAAATCACATTTCTCATACTTTAGGTTGTTAGTGACATTGTTGACGAATAAAACATCACTCAAACGTCGCCTATCGCTTAATTTGACCATTTCAAATGCATTCAACATATTCTTATATGAGATCATAAAAGGATATATATTATGTTTTTTAGAATACAAATATCTGAGAAATCTCTTTTGCACTCTCTCAATCATTTCGATATGGTTCATTGTTTGTGGTGACCAAATAGTTGATGGATATTCTAAGTTAGGTCTCACTAGAGTGTTGTACAAAATTATTATTGTATTTATACCCTTGAAATGTCTTGTATGCCTAATTATGAATTCAAGGAGTTTATAAGATTTATTCACAAGTAGGCGCCAAGATCCTTGCATATGCTTTCTCTACCTAGCTGTACATTTTCAATCGTGAATGTAAAATTTATGTATTGTTTTTTACCTGTAAAGGTTTTATCATGGCATTTGTCGATATTTAACGGCATCTTATTTTCGTGAAACCAACTGGATACCAAATCTAAATCCTTCTGTAGTTCATGACAATCCTTAGATGATGTTATGGGCTTAAATATTTTAAAGTCATCGCATGGAGGAGGCATTCTGAATTGTTTATGCAGTTTGGTAAGTCGCTAATGAAAATACAGAATAGCAAAGGACCAAGGTTACTACCTTGAGGCACCCCAGATGAAGCTATGTATTGGTTTGATACTGGTCTGCCAACCTTTACCTGTTGTGGTCTCATGGTAAGATAAGATGCCATAAATTTAAATGCAATTTAAGAAAAACCAGATCCACGCAGTTTAGTTACCAACAGGCCATGACCAACCCTATTGAAAGCTTTGGCAGAATCTGTAAACACAACATCCAACTGTTGTTTATTATTTATAGCCTCTGCTTCTGTAAATATGCTTACATTGGTAACAGTTGAGACACCTGGCAAGAAACCATGCTGTTGTTTATACACGAGTTCAGGATATCTTGATACAATATGTTTTTAAAAATCTTTGTAGGAGCATTAAGAACAGTGATAGGCCTGTAATTGTTAACTAAACTGGCATCTCCTGACTTGAATATTGGAGTTACAGATGCAGATTGAAAATTGTCATTAATGGGGCACTCAAAATATCTGAACACCCTTTGTAAAAATATGAAGGGATGTTATCATTACCAGATGCTTTTTTCGGTTTTAACCTTCTGATACTTGCTATAACTTGCGCCTCGGTGACCTGGGAGAATGTGTAGTCACTATTACACATATCAAATTTGGTTTCTCAGACTAATGAAATACTGATCCAATATACAATGCAAATGTATCGGATATCTCTTGTGAATCACTAATGGCACAACCCTCATACATAACCTCTGAAGGAATACCAGGCTTTGCACGCTTAGACCTTACGAAGTCCCAAAAGCTGCTGGGGTCAGTGTTGACAATTGTCTCATAATACACCTGACATTCTTTTGCAGTTTGGTGCTTGATTGTGGTTCTTAAGCTACTGTAATTTTTTTTAACCTCTAAGCTAGCTTTACCTTTCTTAATTTGTCTGTGAAGACGATTTTTTAATTTAATGTTTTTCTTCAGTGCCAATGAAAAGTAAATTGGATAATTGCCACCATTATATGTGGCTCTATTCACTGCTTTTTTGGGTATTGCTTGGTCTAAACATCAATAAAGCTTTCCACAGAATATATCAGTACATGTATTCACATCTTCAGCTTTCTGAAGATCTGACCAGTCAACATCTTCTAACAGATTTTATAAGATAAAAATCTTCTTTCGAGTAATCATAGATATATCCAGGCTGACTGTAAACATTACTAGTATTATCTTTAAATAATACAGGTATAAACATATTCAGGGCAGGATGGTACGGATCCTCATTTAGAAGTGGGTCTTCACATTTTTCTATGTTAACTATAGACATATTTGACAGTATAAGATCAGTTGCCTTTGTTTTACATTAAGCACAGTATTAATCTGATTCAAATTGTATAAACTCGTAAAATTATTCAACAACTTGCTATTTTCACAACCTTGTGTTACATAAAATGGTAGATTAAAATCTCCTAAAATTATCACATCCACACCCTTATCTAAAATGTGACCAAGGGGCTCCGCTGGTGTACAAAGTGGAATCTCAGATGCTTTTTCCTCAGTCCTGAAGACCATGCCCCCAGGACCGTGGATATGCGGTAGTTGTTCCTGTTTGCCATTTCTGAGCGATTTCGCAACCTTCCAGAGAGGGTACGCACAAATCAATTCTCGAATCATGTATGACATTTCTAGTCTTCCTGTTGTATTGGAAATAGGTATTAAGCAAACCTTGAAAGAGATAACCTCTCAAAGTAAACGTTTAGTTACACAAATTGCTTCTTAGAAAGTTTCCCAATATCCCGATCATAGATAATGAGAATGATATATACATATATAGATACAGCTCAAGGGCACATTTCATTCATCAGTCTTTTTAAAGTAGGTTTCAAACTTTACGGTACCCGCCATATATAAACGTAATCTGAGGTGCTTTCCAGTGATTTTGAATTGAGAGTTGTATGCACCCGGAGTTTGACGCTCCCGACCTACTCTAGCAAATGCGCACGTTTGTTGATGTTGACAATTTGTATCACACTGCCAAACAATGAAAATGTAAACACATTTTACCTTTATGTATTTTCAGAAGCAATGTCAGACTATCCAATTGATGCCTGATGCTTTTAGAATGATGGCGCAACATGTCGGCGGTCTGCATTTTTATTGTAAAGCTTCTAGATCTCAAAATTATTTTCAATGTGTCTAGTTATAGATGAAGCCAACTACAATCCACTATGAACCTGCATTTTTGCACTCTCTTGTGGTCTTTATTATTCAGGTTCAGGAACATCTCACATGTAGGTAGTTACTCTGGGTCCATAACTTTATCAGTTTTTTACGATCCTCCATTATCTGGTATCGGTTTAATGTGACTTTAATGAAAAAAATAAAAACAATGAAAAAACATAACCTAACAATCTTGACACATTATCATTTTCGTTATCCCCACTATTTCGGTGCATACAACACAGAATAAAATGCTGGTGCACGAGGGGGCAGGGGATTTCAAAAATTAGTAGCTCAGGTGCATGACACTCTAGAGCACTGGAACGGTATTGACAGGTGACAAGTAACCCAAACGAGGCACTGGTAAGCACCTCTGACGTCATGCCAGTTGTAAACAACAGCTGACAGCAAGATAACCTCTAAAACTTGTAAATGTATAAACATGACTTCTACTAGGTTACATAAGAAATATAGTAATTATCGTTATTGTATCGTTCGAGAATGTAAAAACACATCGATAAAGACACCAGGAAGTCTGTGGATTAGAGTGCCCACGGAAATAACGATGCGCAACACCTGGCTAAGGCTTGCTCAAAGGGATCCTGAATCTTTATCGACTGTAACTCAAATTTATTTTTGCGAAGATCACTTTGATGTAAGTACTTAGTAACTTATTCAGTTTCTACAGAAACATTATAGTTTGCTTTGTTTTAGGTTATTGAATAACTTGAAAAAAATTGTATTTCAAGTCAAGGAGAAACATATTAACATTCTTATGTTTATATCTTTTAGTTAGAAAATGACATGGAAAATTATATGAAATACAAAATAATGGGCTCAGTTAAAAGGATTCGAATGAAACCAGGTTGTATACCATCCAGGTTTGGCAGCCAGTGTAACAAGAAACGCAACCTTAGCCCAACTCCAGATCAGCTACAGCATGTCAACAAGAAAACATTACTAATGCCTATATTAGAAGATAATAAACAAGTTTGTCCCAATGAAACATCAATATCACAATTTCAACAAGGTAATGTAAATATAGGTGTATGATATAATACGATTCATACTTATTGTCGAAAATAACTAGATAAGTGTAAGACTTGTCTTTGGGGATATCAACAAATTATGCTAAGTGTATCCTTTTGACTTACAAATACTCAAGCTTTCGACAGACTAGGCTGGCATCATTAGGAGCTAAAAAAAAAAATTAAAAATAGTAAATAGCAACCATGCTCAATGGATTGAAAATCTTTTTACTTACTCTGTCAATGAGATTTGTAAGATGTAAACAAGAACACATGGCAAGGCGATAAATAACTGGATTTGATTTACACAGATCCTTTTTGGAAAACGATACAAAACATGGCTATGTTTTATTGATAAAATACAAACGGACTGGGACAAACATTATTGATTGAGAAGTTTTAGAATTCATTCTATATAAAATGTATTGTGTTATCATATATATATTTATATATATTACACAGATATATATTTATATACAAAGAGAAAATTATCATGCGAAGAAAGGTATATAACAAAAATAGGAAAATAATGGACAAAATCCGCAAAAAGTGGATTCGAGCAGAAAATAGGATAGGTAACCCGAGCGATACGTATTTCTGCTGGTTGGCTTCATCAGGCCCGAAATGAATGCTCATATGCAACTACAAAAGTAGAGACACATGCCCATACATCCGGATACGGGTGTAACCTGAGGAAACAAAGTTGGAGAGGAAAAAAAGATCCTTTGGGCTTGAAGTACCACAGCAAGTGGCTATAACCGGCCGCGTGGTTGTGGTTATTTGTCGCCTTGAAAATTCGAGGTCTTCTAGCCATTTTATACTACAATGTGTAGGTTGGGTCTTGTTGTGGACTTCGTGTGTCTTTTTTTCCTCTCCAACTTTGTTTCCTCAGGTTACACCCGTATCCGGATGTATGGGCATGTTGTCTCTACTTTTGTAGTTGCATATGTGCATTCATTTCGGGCCTGATGAAGCCAACCAGCAGAAATACGTATCGCTCGGGTTACCTATGATATTTTCTGCTCGAATCCACTTTTTGCGGATTTTGTCCATTATTTTCCTATTTATATTTATATATATATATATATATATATATATATATATATATATATATATATATATATACTACACAATAAACAGACTAGCTCCTTACAAGTGGATTATGAAAATTGTTTAATAATTTAATCAACTGTATTCATTTCTTCCAGAGTTACTTAATAAGGAGGATCTCATGCCCTCATGTTCCTCCTCTCTTGAGAAGTTCCATGACAAAGCAATGCAAGTAGTACAGTATAATACTCAGTTCTGGGATCCAGCAGAACAAGTTCAACGATCACATGAACATGTATCATGCTATACTCACAAAGTGGTTCAAGGATGTGTTTCAAAACATTATAGAAGTACAGATGCCCAGTACAGTTTGGATATTGAAGATAATGTATCTTTACCGATTCAACCAATTGCTTACCAATCAATTGCAGCATCTCTCAATAAACCATGTGAAGAAAGGGACAACAAACTAACTATATCTGGCCAATCATTATTTACTGAGGAACAATGTGACAGTGATGCATCATATACATTATCTCAAGAAGGGTCAGACACTGATTCATCCCCATCACAACCATCAAGTCAGACTACTGTAGACAGTTCACAGGAAAAGTATATAAAAGATCACAAATCAAATTTACAGTGTACCCTATCTAAGATAATAAAAAATCCCAAACTGTACATTGGAATACCGGCAAAGCTCTATTTTATAGTTGATCTCATTTCAAAACACACCAAGCTATCAGAGAAATATATTTTACTGTGTTTAATGAAAATAAAATCAAATAGAACATTTTCTCAGTTAGCTAATGATTTCGATATTTCACTGTCTCAAGCGAGAGAAATATTTTGCAATAAAATAAGTTCATTTTTTAGTGTACTTTTGCCTTTTATGAAAACTTTCACCATTTGTACAATTAAAAACAATCTGCCAATAAAATTTCACTATAAATATCACAAAATAAATTGTATCATCTATTGTCTAGAAATTGTAATTCAGAAACCAAAAAATGCTATTCATCAGGCATTGACTTGGTCCAAATATAAAAAAGCAAATACGTATAAATACCTTATATCATGCACACCAGATGGTTTAGTTAGCTTCGTGTCTCGTGGATATGGAGGAAGAATCAGTGACATCAACTTACTTGAACACAGTAAATTCTTTGATAGTTTGCAACCAAATTCTTATATTTTAGCTTATAGAGGTTTTAAACATACTGAAATGTATTTGAAACAAAGAGGTTTTACTTTGTTAAGGCTGCCAATTATTGCTAATGCATCAAAACAAACTGAAGAAATAGCTAGACTCCGAATTCATGTGGAAAGAGTTATCACAAGAATTCAAGAGTTCAAAATCCTACAACCACATTCAGTAGTAAGTTTAAATTTCTTACATGTACTAAATTCCTGTGTAATTACTGCCTGTGCTCTAATAAATCTACAAGATTCACTTATTAAATAAAATATCATGACCTATACATAATGCATTGTATTTTAAATTATTACACTGTCGCACTTTCATATAATATGTATATGGAAAAGATTGGTAAGTAATAGGTAACATTGCCACTTTTTTACCATGTTCAAAATCACTGCTGGTGGCATAAAAATATGTAGGATTTACTTTTGCACATAACATATGAATTTGCACTTAAGCTAAGCATTTTTATGTTACTACCATCTATTATATAATTTTCGAATTTTTTTCTGTAGATGGGCATTTAATTTCAAAAAGAAATCTTTCTGTTGATACCACCTGGTAACCCAACAACCATGGGATACTTATCAGAAATGAAATTGCCACATTTTGTAAATTTCACACTTTGTCTTCTAATGTTTGACTACATTTTATTGCCGGTTTCTGTACAGTTTTCGGTCCAAAAATCACTGCAACCAGAGTTATTCTCCCATAACGAAGCTGAATCCATGGATCACTTTTGTATTGATTTCTAGTATGCATTTCTGCATACCTTAATTTTTCATCATTCAATAAATCTTTGATTTATGTTAAAAAGTTTTTACAATTTCAATCTCTGAAAGTATAGATCAAGTTATGCACTGTTCTATTTTGTACACAATCTTCAGTTTGTTTTAAAAACTGACACGTTTCAATATTTGTCTTCTTACATTCATCTATAAATTCCCTTAAACTTGTATCTGATACAGGATCCTCACGTTTTTTTCCCCCTTTTTTTTGTAGTTTATATTTGTAATGATGATCAAACTTTCGAAAGATTGGATTTTTTCCAATAGCACTCGACTGATTTACAAGTAAGCTGAAGGACATATTTTACATTTTCCTGTGCAGATTTTTCTGTCTCTTTTAAGCTGTTCGTATCATCAACAATCTTCTCCGACAGCCAAGCTGCAATGAAGGCACTAAGTGCCTGCACGATTACTTCGAGCGTTGTATTGCAATGGGAGTGTGGGTACAGGGGGCACGGTGGGATATAGGGCAATGATGTGGCGGATGCTCTTGCGAAAGCAGGATCAACGAGCAAACTGGTTGTTCCTGAGCCAGCCTTAGGGGTAGCCGCGCAACGAGAAGTGGATTGCAAGACAGCAGTCTCCGAAATGGAGAAGCATCTCTAGACATCTCCGTCAGGCAAGGAGCTCATCGTAAGGCCCAGTGCTAAGGCTGGATACTTTTGCTTATCTTTGGATAGAGCCAACCTAAGGTTGCTGGAGGACCCGTTATCTGGCCACAACATGCTGAGGTGCCATCTGCATGTGATGGGGGTGGCTGAGGACTCTTGTGTGAGCGCAGCGGGGTAGAAAAAGTGGATAGAGGAAGATACCTCAGCATGTTCTGTGTCGCTATGAGGCTCTGAGCTACTACAGGCAGACTATACTGGGGTCCATTACTTTGGATGCCCAATCCAATCAATGCCGCGACGACTTTTCGAATGTGTTGCGAACAGAGGAGCTTCAACAAATTATCAACATTAAGGTGGGATATCTCAGCTATTTTGCGAAATTTTGAATTAAAATTTTAATCTCTTTCTATTTATCAGTAGATCTAAAACTTGTGAAAGTATGCCCAACATTACAGCATCCTAGTGAGTGTTGCATTTTCTGTCATTTAGTATATAATATTGAGTGTGCGACGGCAAATTCAATTTCCTTTCAGTCTTAAGACAGGAAATCATCACATGACTGAATGGCATTAATGAACGCTGATCTAATGGGCCGCAAATATAAACCAGAAGTAGAAATAATATGCAGGTGCCTCACTTAGCCGCTGTGTAAGCGTATAAACATAAATAAAATGTTATAAAACACTCACTTTTTAATCAATAACTTTTGAAGACATACGTTAATAACATCAACCACTAGGGTACAATTGTCTCGACGAACAGTCTCAATACCTTTGCAGTCCATTTTATCATAATTTTCAGTGTTGGTCCAGTACAATCCAGCATATCTTTTTTTATTAATTAACAAATATGGAAAATAGACCTAGAATACGAAAGACAAAATTATCTTCACGTTCCTCAATAGCAAAGCCTTTAAATATAAGCACTGACTTAACATTGTACCTTCTCAAATTCCAGTTTTATCGGCTTGATAAATTTGGCACTGATCAAATCAGCCGCTTCTTTTCCAAGCTCCATGCTTTTTTCTAGGGTGCCAGCTTTGAAGTTCACCATCACAGAATCTGTGTCGCCATATATAACTTTAGCATCAGCCTCATATCCATTTTCTATCCGATAATGTTGCTCCACCTCTTGTTTTGTCTGTTCTATCATGCTTCTGCCATATGCTGTCACACTCTACAAACCATTAAAACCAAAAATAAAAATTACGTGATAAAAAAAATTCTGAATATCATAGAATGATAAAGTTCATAACAGTATTTTATGCATAGTCGTTTATGTGACTAAAACAATACTATACTTTTATAAACGGCAACGATCCGCGGTTTACAAAAAGTTTTATCAACATTTCTGACACAGAACTTAAAACTCAAATTCGCAAATGGGATGAAGAATATACTAAATGATCGAGTTAGAAATACAGATCCCCGTGTGTAGTAAACTAGCTGTCCAAGAACTTTAGGCACATAGATACGTTAATTTGTTCTACAAGTTGAAATTCACGAAAAATCTTTAAAAAGATAGTCCGGAAATCATAAGGGATTTGAGATGTTCAACTTCCCAAGCCAACAGAGTTCAGTATTGCTTTAAGTACATACAGAAACAAATAGATGTCATTTCCATTTTTCTAATTCATTGTTAATCATTTCTTACTCCGGATATTTCCAGACATGGCAACTTTCCCACTTGCGCACCAGTAAAACCATAAACAGAATTTGCAGATATTTTATAGGCCAGTTGTCTACCATTCAACACCGTTCTCAATACAGGATCCTTCTCATCTTTCAATAAAGCTTTAGTTTTCTTTCTGGCTGACAGTAAATGTTGTAGAATGTGTGGTAGAAGACCTGGTCTTACGGATGATTTCACAAACATGCAGTTTGCGGGGGTTGAGGTCACTAGGTCATCGGTCAATCTGAAATGTTAAGAATTCTCCAAAATAAGGGTAATGTTATTAGAAGTATTGAAAAACAATAAACACAGGCTCAGAATGCAAGAAGCCATAAAAAATCTACACTATATTCAAGTAATCCAAGTACAAGTTGTTTTGCCAAAAAACATCAAAAAAATATAATATTGCGTTTCCAAAATTATTCGCTATTACAATACTTCTTTGCTAGTAGGCGTGGGAAGTAAAAACAAGAATAATAATAATATAAATATTTATTTCAAAAAGCAGTGCATCGTTACATTAGGTGAAATACGAGGGCATTCCGATAAGTACTTAGCCTACAAACGAAAAACATTTTTTTCGGAAAAGCAGCGATTTATTTCTCAACATAGTCTCCTTTTAGCTCGATACGCTTGACCTAGTGATGCTCCAACTTCTTTAACCCGTCGGAAACATACGTTTTCTGGAGATCTGCAAAGTAGGCCCCAACGGCGGAGATAAGCTCCTCATTCGACTCAAATTTCTGCCCGGTGAGTGACTTTTTCAAGTTTGGAAACAAAAAGGCGTCGCACGGGGCCAAATCTGGAGAATACGGTGGATCGGGCAGCAGTTCGCACTCTTTGATTTCGCTGTGCGATTTCCTTTCCAAAAATAAGACACGAATATTGCTCTTTTTCCTCTTTTCCACTGTAGCCGTCTACGAGAATGTACCATGCGATAGTCAATTTCTCTTGTTATAGTGGCGCCATCGGGCGCTGACGAACTTCTCCGATCGCCCTCATATACATCGTGCACCGCCATTGAGACAAACAAAAAACTATTTAGTCCATGAACAAAACAGCCTTTTATAGATAAATAAATATACAAATTTTGGCATTTCAAGATATTCTTTAAGCCGTTTTAGATTCATTACCAATTAGTCTGGATTCTATTTTGTTTTTTTTGTATTATAATAATATGATCGTTATTTTTACATGTAAAAATTAAGATCTGAATATATCTTGCAGCTAGAGTTAAAATTTCATTACTTTTGAATTGTCCTCTGCATGTTCCTCAAAAGCAATTTATAACATGCACCTAAATGCTTGTTTCTGCTCTAGATACAGCCTATCTATTAGGCCACAAACTCCGTGAAAAATATGCCAAAATTGCAATAAACTCAAAATTATTTGAGATGTTCTGCTATTAAAAATAATAGTATATATTGTGAAGATTCTTACCCAAGTTTTTCTTTGATAGGACCTCTAATCAATGTAGTATAGCATAAATTATGTGCAATCATAATGCTGGGATACAGTGAACTGAAATCAAGTGTTGCAATAGGTTCAGTATAATAGCCTCTTATGGGTTCAATGACAGTAGCTCCCTCATACTGGTCATTTCCTGGAGCACCTTGATGTGTAGGCATAAAGTAACCAGCTGGACGAGCCTGAAATTAAATGCATTACATCTTCAAACCCCTATAGTATCATTCTTTAGGAACACTCAAACGTATACATTAGTATGCATAAAGTACTGCAAAATCCAACAAAAACTATTTCTTTATAGATTGTTAAACATAATTAAATCAATAGATCTTACGTGTCGCAGGAGCTGAGCCACAACTTTAACTTGCTCGCCTTTTGTCAAAAGACTTGTTATAGGAACACCTGTTACTCTAGCCATTTCTATGTCATTTGTAAAGCTCAAAACAGTGTTTAACAGTCTTAAGGGGAGTTCAGCATCTTTCAAGCAGTACAGAGCTAACCTATTGGAAATTCAGATAGTTTGAATTTATAAAAATATACCGATATGTAACTGACTGGTTTGTATCTTGAATATTTGTGAAATGAAATGAAGCATGTCCATTTTTTTTCATCTCAATCTTTTATTGAAGCTTAGACATTATGTATGAAAAATAATATCAGACAAATGTCCGCCTCTAGAAGCCGCGCAAACCTGAGCCCTCTTGTTTACATTTTCCATCACTTTTTGGTAGGTTTCTGGAGGAATATTTTCAATCGCTTCCGTAATATTGTTCTTCAGTTGCTCTACAATAGTTGGTTTGTTGGCATTTTATTTTTCAAAAATCCCCATAAAAAAAGTCAGAAGCCGTTAAATCCGGTTACCTTGGTGGCCAGTTGACATCACTAAATCGAGAAATTAAACGACCCGGAAATATTGTTCCAAAAGATTAATTGTTTCCCTAGTTGTGTGACAAGTTGCTTCGAGGAGCCAGAAAGTTTTGCACCATATCATAAGACTATTACCTACAGCGTCTCCAAAGAAGTAAAGTCCAATGGCACCTCCATACCAAACACCGCACCAAACTGTGACTCGACGAGGATGTAGTGGTCGTTGATGGATAACACAAGGATTCCCTAATGCCCAGATACGACAATTCTGCTTATTAACAAATCCGTTCATATCAAAGTGGGTTTCATCACTCATTATCAGTTGCCGGTAAAAATCGTTATTTGGGTATTAAGCTGTAACATTGCATGTCGGAGACTTTCATGTTCACTAGGCTGTAGTTCTTGGGTTAACTGAATTTTGTATGGCCGCAAATGCAAGTCTTTTTTTAAAATTGTGCATAATGACGTGTGACGAATACCCAGTTCTTGAGAACAATGTCCGGTAGACGTCTCAGGGCGCTCCACTTCACTTTCACGAACTCTCTCGATATTTTCCGGAGTATGAACAGTTCGAACACGGCCCGACCTTGGCAAATCTTTTAACTTCACCTGTTTGTTCAAATTTCCGCACCAATTGACGAATGGTGTTGACACTATGTACATTATCTCGAGCGAAATCTTGTCGTAGCTTCCGAATCGTTGCAACAATCGACTCATTATTTAAGTAAAATGTTTTGACAATACGGACGCCATGATGAATTGACCACATGTGCTTTAAACAACCACTATGGTGCCAGCTACTGAAATACATGTATAAAAAATGGCGCGAAATTTTAATGAGTCAGTTATATATTGGCCACCCTGTACTATCATATATTATAAGAACAGCAAATTAATATTTCGGATTTTAATTATACCTTCTTCTACTTTGGTCATCTCCATTTTGTAAATCCGTAATAATACTGTAATGGACATCTTCCTTTTGTTCTCCAAGAATTTCTTGACTTACACTGTTCAAAGAGTATGATCTAAATTTAAAATCTCGTTTCATTACCATCAACATATCATAAGCAACTCTACCATCAAGATTGACGGATTTGAATGTTCTTCTGCCAATTTTCGTTTGTGTCACGTTTTCTTTAACCACTGACCTAAAAAATAACAAGGAAGTAGTAGTAAATAATGTTTTGTTTCGAATTTTCTGATTTGCAAACAACCAAAAAACCTTATGCCCAAATTAAAATGAGTTATATGGGACACTTGATACATACTGTACATCTGTCAATCTAGCTAGATAACAAAATCTATTCAGCTTCATATGTTTTGCCCTGTCAATGAGATAAGGTAGATCAAAGTTATTTATATTATAGCCTGTTATTATATCTGGATCTAAGGCTCTTATGAAATTTGCCCATTCAGAGAGCATATCTTCCTCTTTTTCAAAACAGTATACCTAAAACAACAATTTATCAGTTATAAACTATGCAACTTAAGGATGAGATGAAGCATAAGGTAATGCTAGTTTGGTGCTGCCACCTATTGACAAATCATTTATGGAAATTATGCAATTTACAGAATATTTTGAAATAGTTTTATATCATACATCGGCATGTCCAATAGGCGCACATGATTTAAGGGTGAATATGTTCCTATACAAGACATCTTTCTCTCCATGCAGTTGTACCACATTGGCAATCTGTATGATTGGATCCACTTGAGGCTCAGGAAAGATACCTAAAATACCATTGTCACATAAGTTTGTATTTCTAAATTTTATTGGGTTTATAAGTAGCTTGCTGTATACTCTTTCAATTGTATAATGCATGTTATCTAGACCTAGTTCTTTTTGTTTCAGCAAATGACTGGGAACTACACATAGTGCCAATTTTTAATTTTTCTTGCCTTTCCTCCCAGCACACTCAATATCAAAACTGAGTATTCTAAACTTTGCAACATGTGCCCAGTCCCCTTCAGGAGCGTGTACAATAAAATCCGTCCATGAGACATCAACTTCTATTTGACATCTAGACATTGGTCGGTGATCCGACATTGCGATCCTACGTGACCATTTTTTGGCTGGTAATTCAATCCAGCAGCAACCTAGTATGTTGCAATCAACTATGAATCTGAAAGATGATAAGGTCTACATGTTAAAAAGTCAAGACCCAATGAATAGGTAGTTTATACAGTTGCTTTTTGAATTAGTTGATGATTTTGATAATCACCAAAAAGTTGTCAATGTCCTAGTTTCTACAGAAAAACATTGAAAGTATAAACTTCAAAAATCATTCTATTTGAGAGTTATTATGATGTAATAACAATTTTAATGTTTCTATTGTAAAGATAACAACATTTAGAAGCTAACATAAATAATATGTGGTTTACTATCTTAGCAAAACCTACCTAGTTTCAACATCTACATTTCCTTCATAAACAGAAAAACTATGATTTTTGAGAGGTTCATATACAACTGTAGTTGTAAGTAGTCTTCTTGCTGGAGGAAGAAATTTTGGGGCAGTTACTGTAATTTTTGCAAAATTTATTTCCTCATCTCCAGTATACTCAACAAGGGATTTTCCTTTGACAATCTCCACAGCCAATACTGCTTCTGGAAACTCAGCTTTCTTTCCTCCTCTCACATCAGCCATAACTGCATTATCTAATTTTTCCTAAAAATATATGTGAATTGACTTTGATTGAGTGATTCACTTATATTAGCTCACATAATTCTGGTGGTTGGTCAATTGATCACAAAAGTAAAAATGTTCAATTAGGTCAACTCATGAAAAGTTATGTGGAAGACAGAAAACAATGTGTGAACATTAACTACAAACTAAGTCAAAATATAGTATTAGGACCATTGTTGTTTAGTTTGTTTATCAATGACCTTTTTAAGTTAAAAAACCATGGAGAAATTATTGGTTTCAGCAATTATTTACTCAAAGATTGGTCTTCTTTAAATGGCAAAATTGTATTACATTTTCAAAAGGTTACATATTTTTTCACAGAAAGGATTTTAAGTCAATTTCAACAAAACATACTTCATTATATTTTCTTGTGACAACAGCTCTTCTCCAAATTTTTATCAACTCCATATCAAAACGTGAATAGCTGCGAAAACTTACAATCGGTTGATAATTCCCTAGGGGTATTCATAGATAACCATCTAAGATCGAATATACATGTTGAAAATTTAATAATATTGTCAAGATATGTACCTTATTCTGAAAATCAAACATTCCAACTCTTTCTTAAGTGAAAAATATCTACACATGACATATCCTGCCTTGTTCTATCATTACTATCTTATGGAATCTTAATATGGAGGGGAGTCATGAAATATTATTATAAAAAGATTGAAATTACCCAGAAATGGATTTCGAAGGTTATGTTGACTGCAGGCAAATTTATTTTTATTATATAATAATATATTTAACAAAAAATCCAAAAGTTTTACAATCTGTCAGCCACAACCATCAAATGTGATTCCAGGAAACATTTGCACTAATTGTTAGACTAAATAAAACTATCAGCCAAAGATGATTCTACTTTCTATGCTCAAACTTTTATAATGTTATTCCTGCAAAGTTTGAACATATAAAATGTAAAAAACGTTTAATAACTGACTTTAAACATATAAAATGTAAAAACTGAATTAAAAATAAAAAATAAAATGACACAAATTTATATGTTTGACTGGTATACTTAAAGGAAATTTGTTATATTAATATAATTTAAGTTCGGTTAAAAAACACTTTTTTAGGTGTATTATGTTTATTGGACACTTGTAGTTAGACCAATAAACATTGTTATTATTATTTGGCATCTTTACTCAAAAATTCAATGAGATGTCTGCTGTGTCTGTACTAGAACAACTGATTTTATTCAATGTTGAAATCATTATTGAATACATCTCGGCCTACCTGTTGCTGGGTATAATAATGAAAAACAAAATTACCTTGAATGCAGGTAAATCTGCTGATGTGAAGGATGCAGGCAAATTGACATAAAAATATGGTGAAAACCCATGAACATGGCAGCATACACTATTCCCCTCTTTAGTAATGCCATACATTCTCAAGATCGGAACCATTCCTTTTTGAGGACCTGGCATGCCAGGGAACACATTGCCAATATAGCTGTCTATTTCTATCTCTTGAAATATGAAACTTTCGGATTGAGGGTCTGAAGGGGGAGGAGTGGGTCGATAGAAGTCTTCGCATCTATAAAAAGGACAAACGCAGATTATATGGAAGGTAAAATAGATTGAAATCTTACTTTATTCGCTTGAGTGTGTGTTGCGTAGGTGAACTGAATTTCTTTTTATCCATTACACCAACGAATTTCACCCCAGTTTTTTAAATAAAGAATTTTTAGATCACAGAAGTCAATTCACTTTGATTTTGAGGTTAAGTTCGTTTGTTGTCGATTTTTTGGCGGTAAGATTTCATATCGTAGAACCCTAATTACGCACAGAGCAAAGTAGAATAAGTATGCAAACATTTAAACGTCGAATTTTCGACTGCTTCCAGCCATCTTGCAGGGTAGTAGAATATGATTACAACTCACAACCGAAAAGAGATTGCATCAAATAGGTTGACTCTGTACTTTCCATTGGAGAAGTTTCATGATACTCAGAATCAAATAATTAGTAACAGTACCAAAAAATATAGATGTATTCTAAGGCGACATAGTTTTAAGTTTTGAAGAATTTAGTTTACAAAGTGTCACTTGCACTCTCCAGAAAAATCTACATACTTCAGAAGAAACGGGTTGGCTTGCTAGCCTTAAGTCACTGCGACCCAAATGGGTCTATTATGACTCCCACATATACTTTATAAAGCACGGAGTCCAGCCTTGATCCTTTCGTCAGACTCCACAGCCTTGACACAGGGCCTTGCATGTAGCTTTCCGTTTTAAGACTAGTCGTTCCTACTATGTGAAACCGTAGCCATGCCAGGCCTCCATAGTGACACAGGCGATGCACTGGAGTTTCCTCATACTCTCTGCAGAAACTGGAGGCCCCCTTCTGATAGACCCAAGAGCCGCATATGTCGATTTAGACGACAGTATCCTGTCAGGAAATCCAATATGGCCTTCCTATTAAATCCAAGTAGTTCCTCAATAAATGCGGACCCTCATTCTTTGATGAACTCTTTTGCCTGCATTTGCTCCAATTGGCCATTCCACCATTCTAGGGACTTTTTCTTGGTCCATATTTCTTATGGACTATTTAGTGCGTGTTCTCGTCACGCTCAGGATCTATAAGGCGACTAGCCGCACCCTGTCGGGCTAGCTCATCCGCCTTCTCATCTGCTTTGTGCCCTCCATGTCCTGGTACCCAGAGCAATGTTACTTTGTTTCGGTTTCCTAGCTCTTTATCAGTGTTCATGCAATCCCATACTAGCTTAGATGATATTTACGATAAAATTAAGGCACTCATGGCTGTCTGAGCAGATTGCGATCCACTGATTTGCAGTCTCATTCCTTATTAGCTCTTTTGCGCAGACATGTATGTCCGTTACTCCAGCTTAAAATATTGTTGCAATATTATACTTATATATATTCCAGCTCCAGCTTCATCTTCAGTTTTCGAGCCGTCTGTGTATTAGTGGCTTTTGCCAGGTATAGGAGGTCCTTTCTCCTACGCCTTCCTTTCTGGGACTACTGTGTGATAGTTTTTGTCGAAATTGCCCACTGGGACAGTTGTGTCCGTGGGCATTACCAATATAGGATGTGCTTTGAACTGCGTGTGCAGTTTTTGATGCTATTTTCCGTGCTGCAGACTGATCGGTGATTGGCCTTGAGTTAACCTGTGAGCGACGGAAAGAGCATTACCCTAAATAAATATGTGCAATGGTAGTAGGTGAAGAAAGAGCCCCAATGCCGCACTGGGTGCGGTAAGCGTGGCGGCCCCTGTGGCGCTCAAGCAAGCTAGCCTCTGTACGCAACTTAATAGCCTTACCGCTCCCGACTGTGTAGTCTTTGTTCACCATGTCACTGTTCCATAAGTTATCATGAAACAATGTAATGAGATTCGTAATTATAATAATAGAATTTTTGACCTAGTAGTAAGTAATTTTGATTGTGTTGTATCTAATGATGATAATCCCTTAGTTAATGAAGATAGGCATCATCCATCCTTATCAATATCGGTAAACAAGTTCTACAAAAGTAATACACATTTTCCAATCAATAATCATCAAAAGCATTACAATTTCAGGCGTGCAAATTTTATCTTATTATATAATAGTATGTTGGATGTAGATTGGAACATTCTAACAAATATTACTGATGCTAACGATGCGGTCACTTGTTTTTATAATAAGCTTAATGAGGTACTGGATGCACATGTTCCGCTGTTAAAAAACTTTAAGCGCAAGTATCCTTCTTGGTATACAAGCGAAATTATTAAAATTGTTAAACAAAAAGACAAAGCTCATAGAAAGTTCAAGCAAACTAGATTTCTTACCCATTAAAAACAACACAACTAGAATACCTAACAATATGACTTACAATGATGAGTCCATTAACGATCCCAAGGTATAGTTGATGCTTTTGCCGATTTTTTCTCTAGTGTTTACTCGTTACCGGATAATATTGATGCCAATCATAGCTTACATTTCGATCGCCTCAATAGGTATTAGTTATGAACAAATTACGGTTGATGAAATTTTTGCTGCCAATCGGAAGCTAACAGACAAGCTAACTGCAGGACCTGACCAAATTCCATCATTCTTTGTCAAGGATTGTATTAGAAAATTGGTATTTCCATTGCAGATTCTGTTTAACTTAATTTTGCACACATATCTTTTCCCAGATAAATGGAAAGCTGCAAAGGTGTGCAAAATTCCAAAAAAAAATTAAAGAATTATAAGTTAGTTTCTGATTATAGAGCAGTGTCTATTTTAAAAAATTTTGCGAAACTCTTGGAGATCATATTGTATAACCGAATACATCTGCCCGTGAAATACCATATTTCGATCCATCAACATGGTTTTATGAGGCAACGCTCAACTTTAACCAATCTAATGGAGCTCAGTCAATACGTATGCCAAAGATTGGATAACAGAGGCCAGATTGACGTGGTATACACGGATTTTTCCAAAGCCTTTGATAAGGTTAACCATTATATATTGATTAGTGAGCTACGATAATTAGGTATAGTACTTATATTGCGATTTTGACTTCCTACCTTTCTGAAAGGAAACACTATGTTTTTTACAATGGATAGATACTATTCGCATGTTTACATTTCTACCAGCGGTGTTCCTCAAGGCTCTAACTTAGGACCCCTACTGTTAATTCTTTTTGTCAATGATTTATGTGTCTCTTTGGACTGTCTGAAGTTGATGTTTGCTGACGATTTAAAGTTTTTCTCGAATATTTCCTCGACAGAGGATTGTGTTGTGTTGCAAGAACAAATCAACATTGTACTAATATTTCTAAATGTAAAGTACTCACTTTTTTTAGACAGACTAATCCTATATTTTAAAAATACATAATAGAGGTTTCTGTCTTGGAGCGTTGTGATTCTGTGAGAGATTTAGGTCTCTACTTTGACGGGGAACTCACCTTCAATTATGATATAAACCAAATAATTTCTAGTGCATCGAAAACGTATGGCTTCATAATCAGAAACTGTAGGAACTTCGACAATATCAGTACATTGAGATCTTTATTTTTCAAACTGATAAGGTCAAAACTTGAATATGGATCTCTTATATGGAGCCCTATTTATAAACGATATGTTGATGCTGTTGATAAAAATCAGAATTTTTTTTTTAAGTTTCTCAGTTTCAAGACTGATGGAGTATACCCTGCAAGAGGTTCCGATTACAAAGACCTTTTACTAAAGTTTGAGTTTCAATCTTCAGAGCATCGACGGAATCAATTTTCTGTACTGATTTTAGATAAATTGTTGCATGGTCAAGTAGACTGTCCCCAAATTCTCTCGCAGTTGCAATTTCTGGTGCCGCGGTTAGCTTCACGAGCTAGTGTTCTTTTTTTATGTCAAAAAGCACAGACTAACTTATTATCAAAAGCACCAGTTAATATAATGAGTAACAATGCCAATAAAATTGCTAACGACTGTGACATTTTTGGTTGCAATTATAATGAGATAAAGAATAAGACATGTTTTTTAAGTTAAGACTTACCATTTTGTATATATATATACATATACTTAATACCTTTAAGCTAACTTTTATTTTTATAAATTGCTCTGTTATTGGCGATAAGCTGTTGGGCAATAAAGGTTTATTATTATTATTATGAGTCTGACTACCCTCGTGTATAACCACACACACATAGCTCCAAAATATTTTGCCTCACTGGCATCAGGGATCTGTACCAAAGATGGTTAGTGGCATGAGGTCTTCTAGTACCCGTCTTCGTGTGAAAGTGGCGACGGTTCTCTTGTGCGTCCTGTACCATGTGTTCACAATATCCATGGCCCTTTGTGAGCATTCGGAAATGGTCCTGGCATGAAAGCCTTTAACTACGACTACGATGTCGTCGGCATACCCCAGGCAGTAAAAACCTTCGGCGGTAAGTCCCTGAAGAAGCGTATCTACCAGGACTGCCCATAGAAAAGGAGATAGCACTCCTCCCTGAGGACATCCCAGCCCGACCTTCGCTTCAGTGGTGCTATCCTCTGCTACAGGTTGCCATAGAGTGGCTGGGCCCCCTGAGGTGTAACACATTCACCAAAGATTGAGCTTTTGCGTTGTTAAATGCACCTTCTGTGTCTAGAAAGGCTGCCGCTGCCATCTCCTTGTCACCTAGTGCCGTATATAGCAGCCTGCATGAGTCATCCTGAGCCAAATCGGTTGATTTCCCCGAGCTGCTTTCCGGAGGTTTTTGGTTTGATAGTGGCATTCTCCCGAACTGCTCCAGAAACAATGCATGAAAATAATACAACGTGCAGTGGAACGGTATTGATGCTAAAGACTACTGAGTTACTCAGAGTAACTCAACAGGGTCACTGGAAAGCAGCTCTGGGTGATATGCATATTAAAGACTACTGAACGGGTCCGGCTACAGTGCGTCGTCACTTATGCACCTGTACCCATCCACCAATCTCTCCAAAATTTTGAGGAGGAACGATGTCTGGCGTATCTAGATAAACCTTCTATTTTTCTTATACTCCAACTACCAAAAAGGCCTAAGGCCTAAACACCCATGGGGTACCGTGGAGTATAGGAGGATACAGGTGAAAGGAGGGACGCCACACGGACTCGTCCGACGACCGTCTACCACCTACGGACAATCACAACATCTATAGCCAAGAGAAAAATGTCTCTTGGCTGTACGAACAGATCTTTAAGATGAAGCCAGTATAATAGGGACTTCAAAGTTGAATGTTTGATAAAAAATCAACCAATTCATTCTTCAAAGTTGAAATTTTCGATTAAAATCCGCCATCCATTTTTGGTTTTGCAGAACTGTAGTATAACCAGTGGTACTCGTGGTCTCATTACAAATCTAGAGACACCTCATATATGTTAAAATCCATCAAGCTGTTAGCTGTTGAAGCGATAGCCTGTGTAATACTCGTATGAATTCACGGTTGATATTTTAATATTAAATTGAAGAGTAGTGAATTTTCAGTCTCCGCGCGCCGGGACGGGCGGAAAACATGAATTCTGGGACATCTAATGTGCCCCCTTTAAGAGCGGAAGTAGCATTTTTTTTATTTGTTTGAGGAACATGTACCAAAAAAATTGCCGAGATTCATTGTTCTACGAAATATCTTCATATTCGCACAAGACGGGTGAACTTCTATTGCTTTTTTAACACATGAATAATTACAGCCCTAATGTTGTCACCGCTTCTGATTATTTATATTTAATAATTTAAGTTGTCCTGGTAGTCGCAATTGTTACATCGTCGGGGCGTCTCAGCTGTTCAGGTAACAAATTTATTGCGTGGATGTGCTCCTCGGCAGCGGCTCGCGCATTTTACGCTTATAAAAAACATTTGTCATTCTTAAATGAGTAATGAGTGACATGATTTTTCGTGATGTAGGTACATGTGATATAATATCCAAAAATCATAATATCTCATTTTCGATTTTTTTTGCGATTACAATATACCTCCTCGCTAGTGGCGTGGGAAGTAATAAGTTGTGAAAATAAGCCAAGTGTTATACGAGTATAATCAAATTATCCGGAGATTTTTAATTGCTGGCTTTTTGACTGCTAAAATATACGATAAATACGCGAGGTCGTGTAATATAATAATAATAATAAAATACCTGTATGTTTTGTATAGGTACACTCAGTCAAAAACGCGAACGAGAAGTTGACATAAAAAAGGTTTAACTCGTTACATCCGCATTTTCAATTTGCTACCGTTCGCGGCGCCATATTGGAGAAATGACGTCAGATAGATAGATAGAATTGAGCTACATAGCTTACTATAATTGATGTATCCTGCATATATAGTAAATAGCTACAGTGTACGGACACGGAAAAGTTTTCTAATATGACGTGTGGGCGGAAAGATGAGAGGGCAAAGTGGAAAATCGGAAGGAACACGTCTAAATCTGTAGGACTTTCAGCGTTTAAAAGCAGCCCTTTACAAGCACCTAAAGCTTGGACCAGCCATGCAAGAATATGAGAATGAGACACATAAGCCATCGTATTCCAAATAGAGACCTCATATCTAAGGTAGACATGACCTGTAAGATAGTCGGATGCCAGATGTTACTGTCAAAGCAAGAAGTTCCAAAGTGTGGAAAAGCTTTAGATTATGATACACTGGAGCACCAGGTTCTGTGAGTGCCTGGGCACCCGGGGGTGCGTGGTTATATAGTCAGATAGTCTTGCAAGTGTCAGGTCCAGTAGTAGATCTTTGAGCCCCCAATCAACTCTCGGATTTGCTACAAATTTAATAAATGAGAAAAGTACCTGGAGGAACATCTCCAGCATACAAAAGGGATGTAAGGAAACTAATCGTATGCTCTATAGCCAAGAAGGAACGTTTCTATTTTTAGAAAAGGATTATTGAAGATTTGTGGTTGGATTCTTAACTGGGCATTATACGGGTCACCTCCACATCTTTTTTTTGCCGATGATCAAATGTTGACCCTCCTGAGGGATGAAAAAGTTAACCAGGCTACTTGGATTATTCATGACTGAAGATATTTGCGTCCCTTCAAACATTGCTACATTTTGTAACTAAATGACTTATCTTTTGAGTATTAGTATATGATGCGACATTTTTTGTATTTTTTTTTCTGAGCGTATCCTCTGTAAGGATAAAATAACCACATACAAGCGCGCGTACCTGCACATGAGCCAGGAGCCAGGTAAAACGAATGTCGATAAATACCAGCCAGAATGATAGGTAATGCTAATCACTCTCTTAGTAGTAGGTGCATAATCTCCTTCTACCTGGAAGATACGAGTATAACAGAATGGTTTCAGGTTAATCCGGAAATTCCCATTTTAACAAAACCTCTAGACTTGAAGGTACTCATCAGAATGGCATTTAGAAACATTCCCTAATATTTGCATCTTCGTTTCTCCAAACTATTTGCTTTACACAGCATCAAATATGACTCTTTTAGTAACTTTGTTACTATTTTCAAACAAAATTTTAAATGTGTTGAGCTCAGCTGACGGTGATTTTGTGGGTGATTATGATTTTCAGCATTGTGTTTGCGTACCTTATTGGCAATGCAAAGAAGATTACAGTGGATTGATAGAGGATGGAATCGACATAATTGATATAAGGTAAGTTTCTAATTTAAAACCTAACGTTTAACGATTCGACGAATATCACGTGAAATTGTATCTCTTCTTCATTAGTGCTTGAAGTTTGATTATGATCACATTGTACCTTCAGTCGCAAATCTATTGCTGTAGCTAGATTCCAAATAAGTTATAGCAAAATCCGTGTTTGCCTTGTCAACCTATGCAATTTTTAATTCAAGAGCCAAAAACATCTCATATAACTTTATGATCATTTTTAGGTATTATTTTTCCAGTGAGGTTATGTCTTTATAATTGAAAACACAAGTGGATAAAGGTTTCATGTAACATTTTTTTAAAGTTGCTTTTTTTACATTAAACTAACCTTAAGGAGTGATTCTTTCATTCTGTGATTACTTTGTTGTAAAAACAAGATAATAACAAACTATTTGAAATAAATATAATTAAGTCCCAATAAAAAATATTTAAAGTCAATTTTCTCCATACAATGATTTTGTTACAAGACACCTTTATCCACTTATGTCTTCAATTGTTCCAGGGCCGGCTCAAGAGTTTTTGACGCCCTAGGCAAGTGTTAGCTGGCCTCCTCATAATAAAAGCAAATTAAATATTACAGTATATTTTTTTCTCGAAAAATATATTTGTTGTCGTTTGTGCTTGCCCTGCTTTTATCGGCTTAGGGTTAGGGTTCAAAAGAATCAGTGACAAAAAATCTTAGATCAAGCTCATATGTTAGTTAATATATTATGTCTGGCAAACAGTTAAAAATAGTATTATTCTGCAAGAGATCGTCAGACATTTTTTCAACTCCTGCTTTTTTATTTTAGTGCTAATTCTATAGGATAAAATTAAGCGTAGCCAGAAAGGCATCATTACTATTATTATTTTCACGACCACATGCCTGTCCATATATAACATATTTCGTAATTAAAAGCCGATCATAAATACGTTATTGTTGAGGGCATCTTTTATTTTTTCTCAATTTTCGGTGTACTGTGACCAGAGTTATCCATCAGTACAATAATAAATTAATAAACATCGAGATCATTTACTGCTTTCGACGCATAATTATTTTGGATCATAGTACGTTAATTTATACTCCCAAGTTCATACACGGTGTACCCGGGTGGCAGAGGCCCTGTATAGTTTCTTTTTTGAGTCGCAACACAAGGGTTAAGATAAAGTTAAAGTTGTATAATAATATTTGGTATTCTTTCAACTTGGCTACCCGAAATAACCTACTATTATTCCGTCATATTCTGTAAATAACCTAGGGCGTACCCAGCTCCAAACGGAAGAGGGGGGGACACCTTCCTGCATGATATTTTTCTTTCTATTTGCATTCCATTGTTTCATCCATTTATATAGAGTCTTCAACCATGTTTTGACAATTCATATGGGTATGGAAAACTATAGTTCTTTTCATGGTTTTTGGCGGTTCAAAGTAAAACTACAAGAATCGCTTCATACATCCATCTCTCATACATACACATGCAACCTACCCCTGTGTGCGAACGTTTGTTTGGTAAGCTCAAAGACATTCGTTTTTAGTTGTGTGTCTTTGACTCGAAAACTTTGTCGCTACGTATGAGAGCCCTTCAATCATATTTGTCAGAGTGAAAACTTACTTGGCATCGGCGTGCAATTTGACTTGTCCTGTTATCAATCTGCAATATAAAATTGTACTATGCCCGGAAATACGATCAATGGGGAAGGCCGACCGTTCGTGCTAAATCTATTCGAGTATTTCCAGGAAGAGTATGAAAACAGCAGTCCTCTGTTACCCAGTTCATGCGTACTGGAGAGAGTAGCAGTTGTGCTGAAGATTGGTCTGCACTCATAGTACGGATGGTCGATCTGTTTACTTATTTCATATGGCGTTGATGACGTAACCGCCAAGAACGGTGACCACAACTACACTAGGATTACTTTTTTGAAACATTCAAAAAAATATTGCATGACATGCTTTTTGAAGTAATAATTCAGTAATTTGCAATACTTGAAAGCAACAGTGGAGATAATTGTCACGTGCCAAAATCACGTAACCTTTTTACTATTTATCACTTATCCGTAATTTGAATTTCTCTTTATTGATACCTAATAGAGTGCCCATTCCTAGGCCAAACCCTTTTCAATGATTTCCTTTTATCAAATTTAATAGTTTATTGGTTGTATAATTATACCTTCTTCTAGAACGTTACGTGTTCTGCCTGATTCGCTTTTTTGTTTCCGTTGAGGTCGTGGTGCTGGGGTCGTTTCGTAATTTTCCGGACTCTGGGATATTAGGCCCCAAGCGCCAATTCAGGGACTAGCACCCTTTTTTTTTGTGAAACTTAAGTTTAGTCATTTTGGTTTGGGTGCTACGTCTTCCATTTTTTCATGGGATTTTGACCCTCAGCGTCAATAGAAACAGAAGAGAATCATCATCCTTTTTCCTCCAGTTGGTTGCATCTTGTTGCAGTTTCGCAAATTGGTGGAAGTCATCTCCTAGAAAAAACTCATTTAATCGTTGGTGCTTCTATAAACATGTAAAGTATCAACTGGCTTTTAAAGAAATTTTGATAGGCCTGTCTAATGGTACCATTATTATGACCGAAAAATCGTCCATTGTTACCGAAAAGTGCATAAGAGTAAATATGAAGCAGCAGCCAAAATATAAGGTCTTTGTAGTGATTAAGAGACACATTTGTATCGAGTGCATTTTGTGGTGATTCAACAAGTACGCCGCATGTTTTCAGGATCAAGCACCTTGGTTCTTTGCAGCGCATCGTGAAGCCACATCTTTGCTAGAATGAAAGACAATGTTCATTTTAATATCTAGTTTATTAGGGAGGTTGAGAAAAATTTTCCTTTATATAATCAGAGTACAGCAACAGAAGAATAACAGAACTCATATATGCAAAAATCGGCGAACATGTCAATGAAACAAGTATCTACTAATTTTTTTATTGTACAAATATTATACTGTATATTTATCTTGCCATGGTACCAAGCCGTATGGTTTCTGAAAATAATTACATATATATTCTCTATTTTCTGTTGAATTGTTATTTGGACTTCCTTGGTTTATTATTGAGGGGATACTGGTAAAACTTTCTGAATGGAACATGACATCGGCGCGTCGTTTCGAATACTCGAAATTTGGATACAAGCATGCCGAAGGCGCAATCGACTATTTTTCGACCACGTGATAGCCGATAATTAAATATTCGACGATTATTGTTCAAAGTTCTACCATTATAAGATCTCATTATATTGTTTGATAGAGGAAAACCTTCGTCTGCGGCAAAATAATAGGGAAATGGTCGTCCGAATTGCTCTTCACCTAGCAACGGCAATGGGTCAGGGTCAGGTATATTTAAAGTGTTATTACATAGTGCTTGGCCTAAGCCTGAATTTCTAAATACTCCTGAATCCTGAATCATTATTCCGACCATAATCTCCTACGTCGACAGTTGTAAATAATCCATTTGTATCGACACATGCCATAAGATGGATGGAGAAATATTCTGAATCCAAAAACGTCTTCTTTTTCTCGTTAATCGCCACTTTAAAAAATCGTCATCGTTGTCGACATTTTAACCAACTTCAAAGCACACGACAAATGGTGTGTCCGGTGTGCGGTAATAAGACAATTGTTAAAAGCACCAACGAGGCATAGAAATTGTGGCGAAGTAAATGTTGTACGCATGTAGTGTAACGCTTTGGTGTGCGGCCGCACTAACATAAAAAGAAATCAACAATACTCAAGCTATCCTGCGAAATAACTGCTGCAATAAATTAGACATATAAGGTGAGTTTATGGAACACCGTACATGTTTTAGTAGAATCTAATATGCCACTTCAAAGGAAAACATTTTGATATAGCCTGCTAATACCAAAAATAATTTCTCTTTGTCGATGTTTATTAGTTGTTGTTATACAATTACTTGAAATTTCGTCATATAGCCAAAAATAGTTTTTATAGAATATATAGAAGAATTTTGTGATCTTGTGTGATTTCCGAAAAAGCAAGAAATACGGCTCGGTTGCATGGTAGCAAAGCTGCGTGTATGAAATATTTTAGAGAATGCATTTGAAAAGGCAACGAACTTTCCCAAAATCGTTTCTAATTTTTTCTTAATTTCTTTGAGGTAGGATTTCAAAATAAACTGCACATTAACTTTGCGACCTTTAGATCTCTGCAAGGCATAAATATGATTTTTCGACCCTTATCCCCGTCTAAACTTTGATATTTCTCTCTATGTTATTTTTGCATAGGCAAATAGCTATTAATTCTGACTTCAGATATTATAGCATGACATCCTGGGTGAGCCTTAAAATTATCATACACCTAGTTATTTATTTCATAGAATAATCAAAGATAATTATTTGTTACGCATTGATTTAAAATTTCAAGTGCCCAACTTTTATAGTTAGTTTAAACTCATTGAACGGGGAACAACATAATGTAACTAACTCATTCATATTATTGAAGGGTAATAATGAAGACATCGAAAACGGTAGGTATAACTAAAAAAAACTAAGAGCTGATACGTCAGAGAGAAATTCTAATTATGCGACCATTTAGAAGAGAAAAAGTGGTAATGTTATTGTGTAATTTGTAGAAAATGTGGATGCTTGAAAAGTTTTGATTCGGACTAAAGCCAGGAAAAGATGAAAACATTAAGAGTTCATTCGGAAATACTTTGAATTTCCAAACTGTCCAAGTTCCATTTTTTATTTACCTGCGCAACATTGCCCCCATAAGGTACTCCGTGTCGTTTAAGTATCCGTTAATATATTTATTGAGCGTGTAGCCTGGACGTCAGTAATTATTGAAGCAGTTTACAAGATCTCCATTTAATTTTAGTCGAGATAGGGAAAGGGTTCAGCTGCTCCCCCCTTTGGGTACGTTCTTGTAAATAACCACAAAATTCTAAAATTTCAGGTCGGCTGATACTGGTGACAAATCTGGTAAATACCCGTCTAGATGCACAGGTGACTATGATGTCTGTTGCCAAGTGGAATGTGGAAAAAGAAGAATAGTGAGGAATGGAGTCCTTACCAATAGAATGGGGGGCTATGTAGATTTTTTCGCTACCAGGATTTTAGGCGATAACAATGAAGCTGAATTTGCGGAATTCCCTTGGATGCTAGGGTTGCTGGAAGACAAAACTTATAGGTCTGTCCTGATAAACAAGGATTGATTTTTATAGAGCTTTTCGATTACTAACAAAAGCGCTTAACTATAGTCTTCCTATTGAAATGATATCGAAATATCTTCGATTTCTTGTATATCCATGTTACTAATATATTCCCGTTCACATTTTTGTTAACCTACCTCATTTGGCAGTTTCATATCATCCTCGAGTTCAATTCTAAAATTATTTCAGGAGGAAATTTGTAGATTTTTTGTAAGAAATGATAAGTACGATTCCCAGTGAACATAGTGACGTCATATGACGGTCTAATAACACACCCAATCGACATCATTATATGACGTCATATTATGTCGTATAAAAGACCAAATACAAAGTCGATATGACGTCTGTATGACACGAATATTACGTCTACGTGTCGTTGCTATGACGTCCAGTCGCTCGAAAAATAATCGCGCGGAGTATCCAAAAATGCTCCTGAAAAATTGAGGATGTTTCAACGACGCCCCACAAGCAGTGAGTTCAGGAGTTATAGAAAGGTGCCGAAATTCATATTCTATTTAGGTGCCACTCTTGAACCCTCTCGTTCCTAGACGTAGTTATCACTTTCGTAATTTTTCAGGAGCATTTATAACTTGTTTATTGTTATACAGAGGAGTTTCCAATAAATTTGTTGATCACGGGAATAAAACATGATGTAAAATGGAATTTTTAAATATCTGAACATGGAATATTATTACTAGAAAAGTCATATTAACAAGATATTTTTGGACGTAGAATCCTGTTTTTTTTATACATAACAATAAATTTGTCCTAAAAAGACGTCAAAAAGCCTTTTAAAGTACGTGTTGTTGTCGTCATAATAATGGCGTCATTTTTTAGTCAATGACATACGTTTGCGACCAAAAATGACCGAATAATGACGTCATTTTCGCGTCATCTTGTTCACTGGGTTTACTGATTTCAACATGTTCCAAATTGATTCTAAGAAATGTGCGGACACTGTTTTTTGTCATATAAATCTGACCGAATTATTCGATAGAAACTCGGGATCTGAGATTCAAGTTTTAACACCCTTGTCACCATTATACGTGTATTATTATAAACTGCCAAAATGGAAGAGATAAGGTAAAAGCACTGTACACCACTGACCGCTCGGTGTGTCCTTGCGTACAGTGAGATGCGTGCACACGTATACAGACACGTTTGTAATTTATTATTTGAATATAGCCTGGGGCTACAATTCATCCTGTCAATGTTTTAGATGTGGTGCCTCCTTGATTCATCCCCAAGTGGCACTTACAGCAGCGCATTGCGTAATGGGCGACGGGCCATTCATAATTAGGGCTGGAGAGTGGAATTGGGAATCAAGAGAAGAACCTCTCCCATACCAAAACCAACAGGCAAAGGAGGTAAATATAATTACGAAATACTAGCTATACAGGATGTTTCAGAAAGACGTGCCAATATGTATAAGGTAGAATTTTCCGAGATTCAGGGCGATGAAGTTTTAAATTGAAAAAATATATCTACGGAGCCGGTGAAGGTACTGAGTTGTAATTCTAGACGTATAGTGCATAAGCAATAAACACACCTGGATCCCTAATAGGAAATATTTTCTACGCCACTGGCCTTTTCGGATAAAAGAAGTGCATTTCATCAAATATCATTCGATTTTCCATACATATTGCATTTTTGTCAGATGACTCGTTTTGGAGATATTTACGTTTGAATATTTGGGAAAAAATCCTGAATTATTCTTATGAAAATGTTTATCCTTCGCTATTCTCAAAACACCGTGAAGCTTGACTTTGGAAACACTATATGGAATATACAGAAAGCTATGCACCTCATTACAACATTAATTGAATAATATGCATGTCTTATCTTTATTCAGTAGCGTAGAAGCTTACCATTCATTAAACCTTTCCTGTGCACGCCACTGGTTTTGCCGCCATATACATTTTTGTTTATGGATAATGAAGCTTCAAAACAAAGAATACGTATAATTTAACAATAAATAAATAAAGATAATAACAATTAAATAGGACAACAATAAACATTACACATGATACAATGTACGTGGTTATTTCTAAATTTATGAGGACATAAAATTGGGAACAAAAAATAATGTTGAATAAATGCTATAACTTCCAAACTAAGGGACATGGTGAAAGTGATCACCTCTGGATCCGTGCTCTATACATAGTGTAGTACGAACAGTGTTCTCCTCGTCATCATACTTCGTGTCCGAGGTTGCTAACGATTTGTGACATCTTCTTTCCGAAATGCTTAGGTATTTTGAGGGAAAAAGGTCGATAATTTTAGAAGTAAAATAATAAGAATTTACTGAAATTGATTAGGTCCACAATTACGACTTTACAGCCCGGACTTATGGACCACTAGTGGACAGTGATCGATTTTATTTTTTTTGAATTTCAGATAATCATACACCCGCAATATCATCCAGGCTCTTTACGTAATGATATTGCCATCTTGATTCTGGAAGCACCCTTCAGACTGTCAGAAAACGTTGGCATAGTATGCCTTCCATTCCAGGTAGGTTGTAATTCCTAACATTTTTTTGTCCATTATACCGTATCACATTATGTACTAGGTTTATATTAGGACCGTATGCAGTACGTCACGTATGAATGGTAAGCGTTCCATTTCGTTACAACGGTGATGGCTACTCATCAGCATGTTTCCATTTTATTAGTTCAAGTGATGAAATTTTGTCGCCTAATGAAGCTTTTTGATGTCTACCAATTAAATCATGCCGAAAAAATTCACGGTCTTCTCGGAAAGTCTTAAATAATTCAATTTTGGTAATAAGAGTTCGTGGTTAATTATATGAAAGTCTTTGAAAAATCAAGAAGCAATAAGAGTTCTGCATAACCTTTGTCAAAAGCCGTGATTATGTCATCATTTATCGATAGAAGTGCTGTCGTTGTGCTATGTAGTCTAATCATATTAGCAAATTTATCCAAAAAAATTGTAAAGCCTGGTTCTATTAATGCAAGTTGTTCATGGGAGTATTTAAAACATGAACGCATAAAATGAGTACACCGATTTTTGTGGGAAAACTATTTATTCGACAACAAAACATGAAAAAACTCTTCAGAGAAGATTCTTAGGTACTTATGAGACTTACAGAATGAGATCACGGGTAAAAAGATCGCGATACCAGTAAAAAAGTTATAGCCGAAAACCGAGGCAAAATGAAGGTTTTGGCACTTGCTGCTAATGCGTCGATAATTTCACACAGCTACTTGAAATTCTTCATATCCGTAGGCTTCATACTTCTAAGTAACTACAACAAAATTAGTCGATTGGTCAAGTAGTCTTTGAGAATTTCTAATTGTTTATCCCAAAACACCTGTCTTCTGGCCATCACTACTAGTTTACTGAGCAATATACATGGTTCGTTCAAAGGGCATTTTATAGCAAAATACACGAGTTTACCTTGCCGACATAAATCACAAACCATTTCGAAAGATAATTGTCGTCTTAATGCGAAAAATGAAGGGCAACGTTTTTTTCTTCTAAACAAATTCAAACATTTCGTATTTGCAAACATACATTATTTTGCACATCTTGAAATAAAGCGGATGTGTTCATCAAATTTTGTTGCGAAGAAAACTTTTTTTTTCAAGATTTTTTCATACTCTAGTGTATACATATTTAGAGCTAAAATTTTTACACGGTCACAGATGGGCCCTAAAGTTTATAAAAATAAATATTTTATACTGAAATGCGCTGAACTGTTTATAGAGTTATCACGCAAAATGAAGACACAATTATGTTTCAAACTATGTTAGACTAGCTAGTATGTAGCATGTACTGAATGGCTGCATTATTGATGACTGCATGACTTTGTCAAATAAGTAGGTCACGTAATCCAGTTTCTTTACAAAGAAATATAATTCTTGGACCTTTTTCTAAAAGTTTTAGCATAGTATACGTCTGTTTTCAAAATCTCGTACGATTAAAACGACTACGAGCTCAGAATATTGGACAATAAACTCGAGAAAACAAAAAAACAGTAGACAAATATAAACCATCTTCAAAATTAAGCAAAATATTCGGTATTAGTCCCTAATACATTATTTAAAGTTTCTGCATTGTATCTTGTATGGTTTTCAAGAGTATTCTAATTGTTCATAACATATTTGATATGACTTCAACGTTCGCTTGACACTTGTCAGTGTCAAATGTAATGGTATAAAGATCCAGTAAACCAAGAGGCATCGTAGCGTAATGGGAGAGAAGAGCGATTTCTCAACCGCAGGACGAAGGTTCAAATCCACAAAGCTCCTTTTTTTGCTAGTATTTTTTTTATTTTGAGAAATAAATGTTTTCCATATTATGTTTACTTTCACAGCGATCAAACAGTTTTTCGCACGCCATAGACATTGTAAGTTTGCAAACAGGAAACCAGCGGTATGCGTATGACAGTTTGTGATTTTTTTTGTTGTATTACTTTGATGAAATTTCAGATCATAGCTGATAATCTTTGAAAACATGTATCTTAGATGTGTAAATTATTAACCAACAATAATGAAAGACATCCGAAATTAATAAATACAAACTATGCAAAAAGTGTCTACGCTGTTGATAAAATGAGCATCTACGCTTAACAGTTACTTGGTAAATAAAAAAACTGAGGGCTAGCTCACTTAATTTTATAAGCATCCTCTGCGGCTCCAAGAGGTACCTAATTTGACGACGTATCGAAAACTTGGGGTTGTTATCACAAACAAAATTTCGGATGTATTTCATGTTGGTTAATATTTTATACATCCAAGATATATGTTTTCAAAAATTATCTGCTATGAGTGATATAAAAAAAATATGAACAATGATACGTATACCGCTGGTTTCCTATTTGCAAGCTTACATTCACTATGCCGTGCGAAAAACTGTTTGATTGCAATAAAAGTACCCACAATATGAAAAAAAATTTATTTCTACAAATTTGAAAAAAAAAATGATAGCAAAAAAAGGAGCTTTGTGGATATGAACCTCCGTCTTGCGGTTTAGAAATCACCGCTCTCTCCCTCTACGCTACCACGCCTCTTATTTGACAAAGTCATGCAGTGATCAATAATGCAGCCATTTAGTACATGCTACATACTAACTAGGCTAAGACAATTTGAAACATAATTGTGTCTTCATTTTGCGTGCTAACTTTATAACCAGTTCAGCGCATTTCAGTATGAAATTTTTATTTTTATAAACTTTAAGGCTCACTTGTGACCGTGTAAGAATTTCAGCTCCAAATATGTAAGTATACACAAGAGTATGAATAAAATTTGTTTTCTTCGCAACAAAGGTGATGGATACATCCGCTTTGTTTTAAAATAATAATAACCTATGTTTTTCGAATATCGTAGGGAATTGTTCAATTACTCACAAATACGAAATGTTTGAATTTGTTTGTTTTTCGCATCAAAACAACAATTATCTTTCAGAATGGCTTGTGATTTATGTCGGCAAGGTAAACTCGTGTATTTTGCTATAAAATGCCTATTGAACGAACCCTGTATATTGCTCAGTAAACTAGTAGTGATGGCCTGAAAACAGGTGTTTTGGGATAAACAATTAGAAAATCTCGAATACTACTTGACCAATTGACTCCAATTTTGTTGTGGTTACTTAGAAGTATGAAGCCTACGGATATGAAGAATTTCAAGTAGCTACGTGAAATTATCGTCGCAGTAGAAACAAGTGCCACAACCTGCATTTGCCTCGTTTTTCGGCCATAACTTCTCTAGTATTAGACGGATCTTTTTACGTGAGATCTCATTTTATAGGTCTCATAGATACCTAAAAATCTTATTCGAAGAGTTTTTTCGTTCCTGTCAACACTTTCGGTTGAATCTCAAAAAAAAACACGTTTTCTCATTCTTTGTTGTCGAATAAAAAGTTTTTCCACCAAAATTAGTGTAACCATTTTATGCGTTCATGTTTAAAATACCCCTTTGAACAATTTGCATCAATAAAACCAGACTTTACAATTCTTTCGTAAACCAGGGGTATTTTCGTCTAATATAGACTAATAGCTCTCTCTAAATCCAGACTGCTGTTCTGGAAGTAGATTATGTTAAATAAGCATTAAATTGAAATACATAATCTTGTCAAGTAAATTGTATAAAACGAAGTACACCTATTGGTTATAGATCACTGTAAGATTAGGGGAACGCAATTTTTGGGACTGGAATGATGAATGATTCTTTTCATAGTTTCGGAAAACGTCCAACGTCCAGACATTTTTTTGTAACATGTTTACGGATAACAGGAGAACTTAATTTTATAATTTAAGTAGAAATTGCCTCAGACCTATTAGCGTTGAACTTTATAGAAGACAATCATTTTCACCGGTTAGAGTGAATACAAACTTAAATCGTCCCCAAGTTTATTTTTATTAAAATATTCAATTGGATAACGGCATGCCAAAGTATCGTCTTTAAATACTGGAATAAAATTATCGTTGATTTTTTACCATCCTTTAAATTATCGAATGAATGAATCTTGAAATTAGAGGCATTCCGGCCACCATAAGGAGCCAGTGCATAGGCCGCTTAAGCGGGCCCTTATGCACCTTTACAATCCTTAGATCACAAGCCTCGCCCCTTTAGCGAAGTTGAGAATCGCCTTGAGTCCAAGCTCCTTGACGTCCTGAGGGTCCAAAGTAATGGACCCCAGTATAGTCTGCCTATAGTAGCTCAGAGCTTCACAGCGACACAAAACGTGCGCCGAGGTCTCTTCCTCTACTCCGCAGCGTTCACACAAGAGATCCTCAGCCACCACCATCATGTGCAGGTGACGCCTTAACGTGTTATGGCCAGACAACAGTCCCACCAGCAACCTTAAGTTGGCTCTATCCAGAGATAGGCAGAAGCGTCCATCCTTAGCACTGGACCCTTCAATGAGTTCTCGTGCCTGGCGGAGATGTCTGGAGATACTTCTCCATGTCTGAGAGTGTTGTCTTGCAACCCACGTCTCCATTTTCCTCCTAGCTTTATGCGCGGTCACTCCTAGAGCGGGCTCAGGACCAACGAGCTTGCTGGCTGATCCTGTCTTCGCCAGAGTGTCCGCCCTCTCATTGCCCCTTATCCCAGCGTGCCCCGGTACCCATATTAACGATACCGGATGCCTCGCTGCGAGGCAAACCAGAGCCTCCCTGCATTGCAATACAAGACTCGAAGTAATCTTACAGCCAGTGCTTTCATTGCAGCCTGGCTGTCGGATAAGATTGTTATTCTTCTCCTAGGCCCACCCTCCTCCAAAATGTGAGATACACAAGCCAGAATCGCAAAGATTTCCGCCTGGAAAATGGTGGTGTATCCACCGAGAGGCAGAGATAGCCTAGTTCTAGACCCAGAGACCCCAGCACCTGAGCCCTCTTCGATTACCGAGCCGTCCGTGTACCAGACCTGCCCGCTCACCCGGCTACCGGCGTCCCACTCCTCCCTCGTTGGATACTCCACAATAAACTTGCGGTTGAAGCGATATTTAGGGGTAATACGATCACCCCTGCTTAGAAGGACGGGGTCCTCCCTTTGTAATTCGACTAAGATGGCAGTATGCCCCTTGACAGGATTCAAGAAAGCCCAGCTGCCCTGACTTCACAGTCGATGAGCGACTACTCTCGCTTTACCGCGGATCACCAGTTCCAACGGTGAGAGATCCAACAGAGCTTCCATTGTATTCAATGGCGTTGTTCGCACTGCGCTTGTAATACACAGGCCAAACTCTGAATTTTATTGAGCTTGACTTTAGTTGTCTCAGTTCTAATGCAAGGCCACCAGACGTACTATCGTCGTATAGAGCCAGTATACCACTTTGGGTTTAAGCCCCCACCTTACCCCGACAACACGTCTACAAGTCCACATCGAATTGCGAGCCTTGATAACCTTGTATTCCACATGCTCTCTCCAGTTCAGTTTGCAATCCAGGATAATTCCCAGATATTTCACTGACTGGGACAAAACTAATCTAGTCCCAAACAAGGTCGGCATGACCAGCCCGTCAAGCCTTCTTCTCCTAGTGAATAGGATCAGCTCGGTCTTTTCAGCATTAACAGAAAGATCGACTTCCCTACACCACGATTCCACGGAGCGCAGAGCGCCCTGTATAATTTCCGAGACTGTTCTACAAAAACGCCCCCTAACTAATATGCTTACGTCATCAGCATAGGCTTGCGCGTAGTCACCCATACTGCTGAGCCTAACGAGGAGATCGTTCACCACGATACACCACAGTAGGGGTGACAGAACTTCGCCCTGAGGGCAGCCTCTAGCTACACTCACGCTGCAGCTTTAAATTATTATTACGTATCTGATGTTTTCGTGTCATTATGCGGATATTTATATCGCTCGACGTTTTGTAAAATTGCTTTGAATTTTGCGCCACCCTGTAAACTATTATAATACATAATAGAGGAGGTGAGTAAAAGCTATAAACTCCAAACAAAGATAAGAAATTGAACGTAAAAAAATAATAAAGATAATGTCATAAGAAAACTAGAATTCATCGTGTACTCGTACCCGTCTGTCGAAACGATTCTTGAATCTGTTAACTCTGGACGCGTTAACAACGTCGAAGGGCAGCCTGTTCGTCAGCAAATACTCGGTTAGACAGGAAAAACTGGCGAGGAGTAGTTCGAAACTTCTCTTTCATTAGTTTGTAGTTGTGGCCTCGCAGGTGGTTAGTGTTGAGACTGAAAGGTGAGGAGATGTCACAGCCGAAGATACCATGCAAAGATCTGTAAGTGGTTATTAAGTTCCCACGTAAGCGTCTATCGGAGAAGTCTTTCAATTGAAAAGGTTCAGCCTCTCCTCGTAACAAGGTCGTTTGATACCGTTGGGGATGCTTGAAGCTCTCATTTGTATATTTTTAGCAGGTCTCGGTCACGTTGTAGCGTTGAATACCAAACAGGTCCAGTTGATTCCATAATTGGCATATCATATGATGTGTACAGGAGCCAGCAGTAGAACTGTCACAGCCCTTGAAGGATACTTCGATAAGGACTCCCTTTGGTCTTAGTCGTTCAGTATTGGATATGCTAGGACCTTGATAGGGTATCCGATACAACAACTCCTAAATCTATGTGACTGGAGACCGAGGGGATTTTCTGGTTCCCGATCATGTAATTGATCTTTGGATTGTTCTTTCCAACGTGTAGAACACAGCACTTCTCCAGGTTCAGGGGCAGCAGCCATCTTGTGGACCATTCATAAACGTTGTTGAGGTCGCGTTGGAGGATGTTATCATTGACACGGGGATATTGTATATCTTTGTGTTGTCAACATAAAGGAAGCAGGTGGAAGATACGATACAAGGCAGGTCATATATGTAGAGGAAAAACAGCAAAGCCCTAATCCATCCAAACAGATCTCCAGTTATTCCAAATGTTGCAGCTTGTAGAGAAGGTGTGCTTCCGAAAAATATAGGTATATTACATCTACAGGCATGTTGATATCTATCATATTAGTTCAATCGTTGACACATCTGAGCAGTTTGTGAGCGTCTTAGCAAACAACCATGTTGATTGCCTGATAAGATATTATTTTCGGTAGCAAACTTGAGCATTTCACCAAGTATGATTTTTTCGGCTACTTTGGCAACGATAGTTCTTTACATTGTACTTATCACCTTTCTTGAAAATTTGCGTAACTGTTGCTTTAAGCCAGCATTGAGACGGTGAATGGGAAGTGAATGAAGAGGTAAATATTATACTTAAAGGTGAGGCAAGAGTAGCGGCACACCTTTTTAGGGTTATTGCTTAAATATTGTCACCGCCTGGAGCAGCACAGCAATCACGTCAGGGGAGAATTCAATTTGACACAGGGTGGCATGTGGTCTAGGATAGGTATTAGAATGTGTACTATCACTTTCCGGAGAAAGGTCTTCAGCGAATGCTGGGGCCAATACTTCTGCTGATGACGCAGATGTGTCCATCTAGATCGCGAGCCTTGGGTGTAGAAGCTTTCGAGTTTAGCGGAGATCAAATACATTTGAATAGTTTTTTCTGTTGTTCGATGATACCAGCTTATTTTCAAATTGACGTATAATCTGATATTAGATTTTTTATCGAAGGGTACGGAGTTCGAGGACATCCGCAACCAAGGCAGCGACTGTATCGCAACCGGCTGGGGCAAGAATGCCGCGAGGCACGGCAAGTACCAAGCAACTCTAAAGAAGGTCTCTATGCCGGTGCTACCTAGGAACGACTGCACGTGGAAGTTGCGCGAAGTCCGTCTGGGCCCCTTTTTCCGGCTCCACAAAAGTTTTATATGCGCGGGGGGTCAGGCAAACAAAGACACTTGCAAGGGAGATGGAGGCAGTCCTCTAGTGTGCCCCATTAGAGAACGGCCTGGAAAGTACCAACAGGCTGGGATTGTTTCCTGGGGGTTGACGTGTGGACTGCACGCCACGCCTGGGGTTTATGTTAACATTGCGCTTTTTAGGGACTGGATAGATTTTATTGTGCAGGCGTATGGGTTTGACAGTACAGTATATCGTGTCACATAAATGTTTGATAATCAATAAGAGAAGGGGGGATTTTATAGCTGCCGAATTTGGCTGCTAGGTAACGTCTCAGATCCGGATTTTCCATCGCTTGTTACAAGTTAACTATTATCTGACTGTTAACTTGTTTTTCAATATCTGGTTAACTAACCCGTGTCAGAGGATCTGGCAACGCTACTTCTACGTCTGAACTATCATGATTTGTGCGTTTTGTGAAGCTCGACGTTTGTGTCATCTGCATGTCACTCATGTCATAGTCAAGCAAAAAAGGTTAGGCAATGCCTAATAGGCATGAATGCTGGCTCAAACCTCCCCCAAAATCCCATGGCCTAGTACGTTTTTCCTTTGTTCTTATACACTACAACATGCTATGTATCACATAACGGCGATATTTGCCCTTAAGACCCACCTCTCAGATCTTTTTCTGGATACGTCGGTGGTACTGTAACTACAACTTTTTAGTTAACCAGTAGATGGTCTTCTGGTTAAAGTTAACTACCGTTTTAGGACAACCTGACACTGAAAAAGACGTTTTGAGAGTTTACTTCTGGTTAGCTGTAAAATCGCAATTTACCTGAAATTGAAAAACCCGGTCTTAACAGACATAAGCACCTATTAGCCGCGGTTTTCAACTGTAAATTTACTGTTAATCAGAAGTTAACTCTCAAAAAGCCTTTTTCCTTGTAATGTTCATCCTGAAACGGTAGTTAACTTTGACCAGAGGGCCATCTATGCGTTAACTAGAAAGTTGAAGCGCAATGCCTAGCATAAATTTTCTTAATAGTGACACGAGTTGTCATGGATGACACGAAACACTGAGCTCAGACGTAAAAGCAGCGTTGCCGCATTAATAGTTATGGGCTACTTGTCTAGAACTTCAAAAACGAACTTATTGGAAACTGATAGTTACCTTAAAAGTTTTAGTAACTGGCAAGTTAACTTGCGATTGAAAAACTGGACCTTAATATTATTTTATGGTTGTTACTTAACTGTTTTTTAAGTGTTTCTTAATGTGTGTTCCAGTATGTTTAAATAAACTAGATTTTAACTTCTGAGGATGGAGGTATGATTAAACAAGTCGCATTCTTTCGATCTGATTGAAATGATCGAATTATTTTTGTGTTAGGTATCATCTCTACGTTGTGTATTTCGTACCTATATCATTGTCTCTTCCTAGTTCAAAAAGTATAGGATTTCTCCACACTTCTCAGAGTCACTAGTGTTACAAAAATCAGTTCGAAAGACTGTAGCACTTATTATTGGTACCTTGAGCCGCAGTCGGATTCTGTAGCTTAAGACTTATGCCATGAAAAATAGGCAATAAAAATCGAGAACTATTTATAAACCTTGTCGAAAAGTGTTTATAGCCTCCTGTTTATGTGTTTGGAACAATATGTTGCTAAAAGCTGTGAAGTCTCGAGGCTGTTTAATCTTTATATGTATGTTGCAGATGTGTCAACACGTAGAATAGAGATTCCCATGATCTCAAGTTTTTACAAGTAAATTTCCATGATGTCACTTAAAAAATCGGAAAATGTAAAAATGCACAGAGGACAAAAATTGCTTCACCACTAGATTTAGGGATTTTGAAAATCACATTTTCTAACCAAAATGTCACAATCTAATCATGTGTAGCAAAAGTCAGCATTGGCATGAAAAAAGACATTATAAATTTTACTGCGGAGTAATGATTTTATTATGCGTACGTTTTTTTTATATAAATTTTGTATTAGAAATTAGAGAGTGTTTAGTGCAACAAAAATAACGAATCGTTAATCCTTCCGTTACGATATATTTGACAGCGATAGCAAATAAGGACGGTTGGAAAAACAAGAGTTTTTCTGATGATGTTAAAGTGTACCATGTAATTTGTCAGTACTGACTACTGACAATCCTGACAGGTCGCTTTTTTCGATTTTAACGTGAAGTCCAAAACATCAAAAACCTTGTTAAATTTTTTCATAGAAAAGTTTCGGTAATATTTGTGTTCAAACCAAACAACATCAAAGATCCACAGAACAATAAGTGTCCTCGAAATCAACAGATCTATAATAAAATGCTACCTTACCGCATTGTATATATAAAAAACAGGACAATTCAATTTAGTTAGAACATTGCCTGTTTCATGAATTTATTTTGATCTCAGATTCACAACTTTCTGTTATACTTTAACCAAGATGTTTTTATAACTTGAACTTTTAATTGACCTTACCCAGCTTATCGAATTCTGTCAATAGCGCTGAATTTAAAACATAAGCCATCCCCTATTCTCCGTAACTCACAGCATTCTTATTTTGATAACGGAGAACGAATGATTGTTTCGCTACTACGTGAAATCGAAATAACGGAACAGCAAAACAAGAGCACTAAAAACTCTCTACCATATTTGTACTTGCATGTTATTTGTAAATAAATGTCATATAATTTACAGTCAGTGTCTGCAGTTTAGCTATATACCCAAACCCAACCCAAATCTTGATAGTTTGAACCTACCCAATATTTACAAACGGTCTTTATATCTGCTATTATTATGAACTTGTGGAACGATTATGATGAATTGAGCACTGATAAGATATTACTAAATATACAATAAAAGATAAGCTAAAACAACAACTAAGTCATTTTTTACTAGTTCCAAATATGCTTATTTTTGTTGTAGATTGGTTTGACAATTCATCTTAAATTAATTTAAGCTTCACTCCATTTGTTATGGAAAAAATCAGAACTTCTCAAACTTCCTAGAAATTTTTTCCACTATGTCCTAAAGTAATCAGAGAAATATCTACTCTCTCACTCTTTTCTGTAACTTGAAACATAAAAACACCTACGTGAATCTTATCCAGAAAGAGTGTATGTGGACCGATGGAATCACAATGTTTTATGATGATTTAAAATACATATATGTGAAAGTCATATATTCTCACTTTGTTAGTGGAGCTATGTTGCTGCAGACAAGTTTTGAATGGCATGTCTCTGTAGTACCTAAAAAACGTGCGAAAGTATTTCTTAAAAATTCACGTGAAAAAATGGAAGACATAGCACGTCGTACACCACTGCTGACTGGGCGTCAGTCGGTGCGCGTGAATTCCACCTTACTAAAATACACCCTGCGTTAAAAGTGGTACGCGATGTGTAATGCAACTCTCTTCCGTTATGGTACCAGACTATAAATCAGATTACTGACTGATTTTTTATGAATTTTTGAGGGAAGTTCTTGTAGGTTGCCATTACGTGTAAACCATGAGACTTTCATAGCTTTTGTCATCGTAATGGCATTATAGTTTTGTGATATTAGAGCCGAAACATCGAAAAAGTGAGCAAAATTATCTCTTTTGAAGGAAAAAAGTGGGTACTTTGAAAGGTAAAATGAGTAAAAGATGAGTAATTTTCAGGCTTTTCTCTGAAAATTTAAGATAAGGCGGGGGTGAGTGTTTAAGTATCACTTCTAAAAACGAATCACAAATGTGGAGAAAATAAGGGGGGGGGTTAGCTTCAAGCTCCTACGATATAAGAGATATCGATCATTCGATTTATTGGAGGGGTCAAATGCATTATGAAACATCGATTACAATGGAAATAAGGCTGCACAAAGTGCCATCTGTTACCAGAAACGATCACTGTGAAAATGAAAACAAATAGGACGAACGAAAGTTATACAGGGAGAGGCAGAAGTCGACGTAAAGCAGGAAACGGGGGATAAGTCATAATAGTTATCAGAAAAATATAAAAAAATCTAATTCGTGTGGTTTTCAAATTATAGCCTTAAAAAATCGGAAGGATCTACACCTTGTGGCGATCTTTTAGTTCCCATTACAAATTGTCATTTTACGTAGTGACCGTAAGACAGATAGAACGCCACTTTTATTAATTCGTGAACGTATTTATTAATTTCACAGTAAATGTTCACACTGCCTTCCTTCAGCAGCAATGCAAGCTGGACATTTGAAAAATGATCGGGTTATCAGACGGGCGAATCTTCCGTTATTAACAAATTCAGCTGCTTCCGTTATTCTCTCCGGTAGCTCAGCTAAATTTTCGATTGGCTTTGAGTAAACTTTTTTTATCCCGTATACGAATGGTATACCTATTTTCAGCAATCGTACAAACCTCTCATAGTCATCAGAGAACCAACCACTGTTGAGACCTTCTGTTGAGGAAGCATCAGCATCAAGTTAGACTGTCCTCCAAAAAACCACATTTAGTATAGACGTTGTATTTGGGCCAACAGCATCCCTCAGTTAGAAAAAATTACAAAAAGCCCGTTGGTTATCGAATTCGTGCCTATTACGTATGCCAATGCTAAATTGGGTCTATTAGTTTATGTTTGGAAGAACGAAAAACAAATCGGTGCACTTCTTAGTTGCGTGAGAAATAGGCGATAACAGAGTTATATTAGCGATGTTATAATATGTCGTCTATAACATACCGCTCAGTATCACTCTTAACGTTGTGCTGTCGATACAGAACGGATTGGATAATCACAATCAGTTGGAGTGGTTATTGCTTGCTGTGATTCGAGACGTGTTTGTTATTAACGTAAGTTTGTCACTTTTACAATAGCACAGTTCTTCCTTTCGCGAGTCATTCAATGTTTCGATCGAAGTCTCTGATGGCACCGTACTTTTTGATGCTTAATGCACTTGTTGAAGCTCTCAGTACTAATCTAGCAGTTCTGAATTCTGTACTAATGTTATTATAGAGCGTTCTGCTGGCTTGAGAGTTTAGTTCATTGATGTTGATTTGAACGTATTCACAAATAGATCCACTTACTGAGAAATCAAATTTTGTATACAGAGTACATTTTGGCTAAATAAAGTAAGGCAGTTTATTATTTAGTGGTGTAGATCTAAAGTGTAATGTCCTATTTTTTGGTAGTGCAAACTAGAATTAGTATTCCAATAAAACTAGAACCATTAAATTCAGACTTACTTAAGACAAAATGCATTTATCTAGCTTCAGTGGCGGATTTAGAAGGGGGGCGGGCAGTGGGCGCGCACTTGCTTTAATAATCTAACACCATTGTGTTACTTTCTGACACATCATGGCGACAGAGGCATCCTAATTATAAGTTATAGCTATAGGAACTGAGCATTGCGATTTTTTGGTATCCTGTAGTATTCCAAACTCTTTGACATCACTTAAGTTTACAGCACAATTCTCACGATTTATACGTATACTAAGTGACATATAAATCCGAACACCCAGTTTAAATGGTTATATTTTAATAAAATTTTGTATAAGTACTTAATGAAGCATAATAAGTAAATGATAAAAATTTCAAAATGATTACACTGCTTTAAAGCCCTTTGACCTTTAATAATGTGTGGATGCACCCTGATGTGCTACGCATTCTCAAACGCGCCTAGGCATGCTTCTGATCAGGTGGTCAATGTCCTCCTGTGGTATCTCATTCCAGGCAACCACCAACTCCTCTCGAAGTGCTTCTAGAGTCTGAGGAGGACGTTGCAAATTGAGCAACCTCCTACCCATCATATCGCACACGTGCTCAATTGGGGATAAGTCGGGAGATCTTGGTGGCCATGGTAACAATGTGACATCATTATGTTGAAAGAAGTCTATTGTGACTCTTGCAACATGTGGTCGGTTTTATCTTGTTGGAAAGTTGGATCTGCCAGGGTGTCAAGATAGGGTAAAAGATGGGGTTCTAGAACTTCGTGGATATAACGCTGCGCGTTCATGTTACCTCTGATGAAGATTAAAGGTGACCTGGAACCATAAGCTATAGCACCCCAAACCATAACTCCAACAGTGTGATGAACATGTCTTTCAACAAAAAACTGTGGTTTCCTCCCTTCACCACGTCGCCTTCTAACCCTGGCACGACCATCGTGCATGCCTAAACAAAATCGAGACTCGTCACTAAAGACAATACTGTTCCATTCCTGATCCCAGAGTGACCGTTGTCTGCACCAGTCAAGGCGATTACGTCGGTGTTCTCGAGTTAAAGGGAAGACCCAGTGTGGCCGGTATGAAAACAAGCCAAAACTTCTCATTCGTCGGTAAACACTTCGCATGCCAATAGGTCTTCCGTGTTCTGCAAACCATTCATTTGCAATGGACCTGGTAGTGGAGAAACGGTCCCTTAAGGCCAATAATCTTAGGCGGCGATCTTCACGGTCTGTTGTTCTACGGCGGCGTCCAGTGCCCCTTGCTCTTTGCGTACGGCTTTCTCGAAGCCATGCCTAACCACAGTGTCTACAGTTCTTTGCACTCTAACTGCAATTGCCCGAAAAGAAAGTCCAGCTTCCCGAAGTCCCACTATACGGCCCCTATCAAACTCACTAAGTTGACGAAATCGTACAGGTCTCCGTACTCTAGGCATCGTAACCGATCGTAAAGGATGTCAAGAACCAAAATCCGCCAACGTTGATTCTTTACTGCGGCTGAAATATTCATTTTTAGTGCGTTAGTGAATTAAAAAAAAGCAGTATAAAAACCGGAATGTCCAACTGATAAGGCTGAAAATTTTTTCACTTGTTATTTACAGTAAGATAAATATATTCACCAACTTTTATTAAAATAAAACTATTTAAACTGGGTGTTCGGATTTATATGTCACTTAGTATATATACGAGTATTGTGACTTGTGACAAATCTAAGTCGGAGTACCTAATATATCAGCTATACAGATTGCTCTTAAAACGTGATTTATGTTCTGTTTGTTGCTCAATAGTAATTTGAAAAGTGTGTAAAGCTTGTCTGATTTTGTTCTGGGTTGCTGTTGCAGCGAAGCACTATGTTAGATGAAAGCCTGTGGCTTGTCCAGCTTGTTGCTATATTGAATTCGTTTCAGTCACACAGGTTCTGAACTACACGTGGATATGTACAACCCTGTATTCCTGTACTTGTTTCGTACAGACATTCATTATCAGAATAATAATTACGATCTAACAGATATATAGTTTTTCCAAAGATTTCCTACATTTTTACATGCGATCAATACCGATTCGAAAACTGAGAAAGCGACAAATCTAAGTTCGACAACGAAACTCTGAAAAATAACTGAAACATGTACATATATTGAATTTCAAAAAACAATTGACTATACCTAGTGATATTTTTATCACCTGCTGATATAATAGAAGTGCATGATTGTGTCAGTATTTGCACCAATTACTTGATTTGTTTAATAGGTAGTTCAGAGTCTTAGTCCTTAAGCTTAGTACAGACTAGTAATTTGTTTATAGGCAATCTGGGGACGGTCTAAAGACACGATCTATAGATGGTCTATCGCCATAAAAGACATTGTTTTATGTGGAACGGACTGGGATATGTCTCGGGGACCCTCAGAATGTTTTTTTTTAGGTTAACAGAGCAATGAAGTGTTTTATGTTTTAATCTTTAATATTATTACACTAGTTAATTATAAGTGCCACGTACTTATTGGGTTCTCATATAATAAAATATATCTGAGTATTTTCCATAGTGTTTTTCAAGCGAGCATTGACCAGATAGAACACAATGGATT